AGGTCAGTGCCATGGATGGAGCCACAGCCAGCAGCAGCGAGGGAGCACAACCAGACAGTGCTGGGCACTGCTGCCCGTGCCTCTGGTCCTGGCAGCAGCAGCTCTGGTTTTCAGTTTGCCCCACGCCCCAGGGAAGGGAACCAGAATAAATCAGGGATGGGATGGGAAGTCATCTGTCCGTGTTTCTTCTGTTCCACATCAAACCAGAGCTGCATGTGAGGCTCTCTGGGAAAGGGTTCAGACAGGGAGCACAGTCTGAAGCCACTGAGCTCCAACCCTGCCCTGCAAACTGGGACACACCCAGGGCTGTGCCTTCCCCTCCCCACACCGGTGTCTCTGATGGCTGATGTCAGTCCCTTCTTGTCCATGCCCAAGAAAGGCTCTCCTCATTTCTTGTGAGCCAGAGGAAATCCTCTCAGGAGCAAACGCTGTGGTGACACACTCCTGAAAATGGCACACACTGTGCCCCAGGGACAGTGCCATGTGTCACCTTGCAGCAGGTACAGCTGTGGTGGCTGTCCATGGCTCTGATGGACCTGTGCAGATCTTAGCTGGATCAGGCATCTCTCCATTAATTATCCTTCTCCTGAGAAACATATATACATATGTATGTGTGTATGTGTAAATTCATAGATACACAGATTCCTACAGTATACAAAAACACAGACATATTGTATAAAATAACTGATAGCATTGAGCATAGGGATGGGTTACTGAATATCAGGAATACTCAAAGAAGGCAACAATTTTTTTTTCCCCTACAGGAGAAGGGTACTTAACAAAATTTAATAATTATTTATAGGGTAACCTTGTCACCAAAGCCTCTTGCAGTAGAAATAAATTAGGGCTCATCCATCAAGAGCAAATGCTGCTGTTCCAGTTTGCCCTGGTGCAGTTTCAAACCAGACTGAGCAATCTCCCAGCATTTCACCAAGCACTTGGAGCTGATCCCATCTGGGCTGCCTTTGGCCATGCTCTGCTGCTGGTTCATCACCCTTCCTGCACGAGCACTCCGGGTGAATCAGCACCACATTAAGGTCATCTGCAGCTGCCTGATTCAGATAATCAAAATCACATCCCCAGGGCTTGCCTCCACTGGGAAACCAACACAAAACAGCCAGGATGTGAATTACCAGGATGTGACTTAGCAGTGCCACAAGCGTTTGCCTTAAGTCCTGCTTCTCCCCACCAGAATTAATATCTCCCTGCTCAGTTGCCACAGCTCAGTAACCCAAAGGTAATTTCAGAGTGGAGGGAAGGTGTGGTGATGGAAATTAGTGTAAAAAAGCTGCAACCTGGCATTATCAGCTCTGCTGCTCCTTCAGACATTCCAGGTGGGTCTTTGGACATCTTTCCCTGTGGAGGTAGGAGAGTCATCTTCTTCACATCTACCCCCCTCTTATTTTAAGTAAGGAATCATGCTTTACTTTTCCTTCTTTTCAAGTCCTTCAAAGTTACAGACTTCTGCAATATCAGCAGCAAATAACCTCTGCTGCTATGAAATGTTATTTTACCATTGTTAAGTGTCATTTGTCACAGCAGAATGACACTTCTGATTTTTTAAAATGTTCCCCATGTGAGAGACCTTGGTTTCCCCCTAATTAGCAAATTCCTTTCTGATATTCAGAAATAAAGGACACTCTACAATTTCAGGATTAACTGGAGGTCACATCCAGCATGTCTGTGAACCTCCTGAACCATGAAAGAGGTGAGAAGACCATGGACAGTGTTGAACCATTTTTGTCATAGAAAGATGATTTTATAGACTTTTATAACAGAACACAAGACCTTGGAAATAATTTCTGTACGAGAAAATGACAGGGAAAAGCAAAGCAGCAAAGTGCCCCAGAGCTGATGGCTCGTCCCCAGAGCAGCAGGCACAGTGTCCTTCAGCTGACAGCAGTTTCATCAGCAGCCAGGCACTGCCTTTGCTCCAAGGTGCCTCAAACACAGCAGACTGACAGCTCTCCACTTGCTTTATTTGGCCTGTTAGCCAGAGGAGCAGGGAATCAATTAGCAAGCAGGCTAATTAAGTTATAGACAGTGTGAAACAGCATCCCAAAGCCACTGTCAGCCCACAGTGGAGGCTGGACCAGCAGCCCATCACCCTGAGGCTGCAGGAGCTTTAAGGGAGAAGTCAGAGACAAACAAGGACAAATTTGGACAAACTGTGTGAGATGCTGCTGCATTGTGCAGAGAGATCCATTGAATCCAGTCTGTCCCAGAGAGAGGGATTTGCAGTGGGCAGCTCTTCCCACAGCCAGCAGGACTCACATTCCCTCCCCACCCCATCTTCACTTTCTCTGTGAAGTTCTTCTCATCCTCACATTTCTTAAGTTCTTCCCTGGTGTGAAAAACCTATTTGGACTTTGGGGAGAGAGTTTTCTAGTTGAATCCTAACAGTAAAGCATCTTTTACAGGCAGCAAATTACTGGCCAGCATAAAAAATATGGAAAACCCAGGAGGAAACAGAAAGTAGGAAATCCAGGAAAATAATCACCCACTTGGCCAGACCGAAAACAGCAGATTGTTTTGCAAGCTTATCCAGACCATGTGCAAGTATCGAAGATTTTTCCCTTTTAACTGTAAAGTAAATCTATACCTACCCACTTGTGAACTTCAGTGAAAATAATGAACTGGCACATATTTATAGCAAAAGTCATGGCACATTAGGTATTCCAAAGGCCTTATGTAAGCGTCACTTTCTTTAATACAGCTTTGGAGAAAATGCTTTAAGAAGCTTTATCAGCATAAAACATATTTTGAATTTAATGGAAATTAATAATTGGCATGGCAAAGTCAAAGCCAGCTGAGTGGGATGACTTAACCCTGTTGGACAGTATTTTTCACTAACTATAATAGTTAATCTGCCAGTGGAGAGAGGAAAATTTTCTTCTATTGTCAAACGCAGTTAAACAAAGGAGGAAATTTCTGCAGCTGATGGGGAATTGTGGAAACAAATGGAATATGGTAAGTTCTATGGAATAAGGTGCATTCTTCAAAATAAATCCAATTAAACCTAAACTGAGGGAACTGAGTCAGAGCAATGTCCCTGTGAGTAAAATAAGCACTGGGGTTTAGTGTGGCCTCAGTCTCTGTCTCCTGAGCAGGTATTTTCTTCTGACCAGGCTGGTGGGTCCTGGTATGAATTTCCTACTGAAATCCTCTGCTCTGAAATATTTGCACCTTCTTCACACCCATTCAGTGGTCGACTCCAAAATACATTTTATATGCAAATGGCAGAGCCTAAAGCTTGGATTTCCTTTCAGGAGTTGGTAGCAGAGTCCAGGGCAGCCAAGTCCTGTGATGTTACACATTGCTGAATTTGTTCAATTAGATTTATGAATTAAACATACATTTACATATGGAGAAGCCTGACAAGGCTTTGTGGAGTTTAATTTATACCCTGAAATTTGTTGAGCTTTGTCTCTTACCCTGCCATTCTTGCAAAGAACACCCAACCCCAACTTACCATAGTAGATTAATTTAGAAGAAAGCCACTCTCTCTTGGGTCTCAGGACAATTTTGTCATTTGGGGTAGTTAAGGACACCTCAGGCTTGGGCTGTATCCTTCTGTAGCTACAAGCCATCTGCTGGCAATCATTCCTTCACAAATTCACTTCTCTGCTATCATCAACTATATCCTTATTAAGTGGAAATGAAGCTACAATAAAACAAAAGAAAAAAACCCAGAAAAACACCCCAAGCAAATTTTGCCTAAAACCAACAACACACTCTCAAACCCTCTCCTACAAAGAACAAGTCAAGGCTTACTTATCCTAAATTCAGCCAAGCTGTGGGTACTGCTGGGCTGAGTACAGCCTCCTCTGGGCCAGTCCTTCTTGCTGACTCCTGCTGCTCCCTCAGGCTGCACTGGTGTTATAAAGCCTTCCTGGAGCTATTTAAAAGGAGATCATTTTGGATTACAAGACTTTTCCTAAAATCTTCTATTTTCTGGCACTTATCACTTGCTGAGTTTTTGGATTCTTCATTAGGAGCAGCAACCATATCAAAGCAGAGTGGTTACTAAGGATTGTCGGGCTCCAAATGAAAGCCCAAATCCCACAGGAGTTAGAACAGTGAAGATTTGTAGCCTACTAAAATCTAAGACCTAATGAAATCGCCAGCATCCTCATTGCCACGAAAATGTATCACTTCCCTTCAACAAAATGAAACTGCCATACCTCCAAGGTTTTCTTGCACTCAGCCAACTGTAATTTCTGCTTTACATATATATAATTTGCTTTTGTTATAAAACTCTGAGATGTATTGTCCACCTATCACTGTCTTCCAGAACCTCCAGCACTGAACTGATAATGCAACCTTTCACAGAAATACTCCTTACTCTCCACCATGAACTCCTTGGGGCAAGAAATTTTTTTTCCCCTCTTTTTGTGTCTTGTGCCTGACACAGCAGGGGCCAAATTCACATCAAGCAGCACATAATAGGATCTACAGCATAATGAGTGATAACAAGCAGAGTGGTAAAGGATGTCATTTAGTGGATACTGTCCCTGTGGTTCACAGATGGCAGGTTTTTTATCAAACAGGCTTTTCTTCACAGTGTCTTACTGATCTAAAAGTCTGTCTCTATCATTATGCCTGTCTGGGTCTCTATTTAATGCTTTCCTACTGCAGCTCCTCTTCTCATGTCCCCGTTTCTCAGACTGCTTCAGGGAGCTGGAGACTCTATTCCTGTGTCTTTTCTTTTCTTTTCTTTTCTTTTCTTTTCTTTTCTTTTCTTTTCTTTTCTTTTCTTTTCTTTTCTTTTCTTTTCTTTTCTTTTCTTTTCTTTTCTTTTCTCTTCTCTTCTCTTCTCTTCTCTTTTCTTTTCTTTTCTTTTCTTTTCTTTTCTTTTCTTTTCTTTTCTTTTCTTTTCTTTTCTTTTCTTTTCTTTTCTTTTCTTTTCTTTTCTTTTCTTTTCTTTTCTTTTCTTTTCTTTTCTTTTCTTTTCTTTTCTTTTCTTTTCTTTTCTTTTCTTTTCTCTTTTCCAGTTTCACTTCCCAGCTTGGTGAGCAATGTGGACAGACAAGTGCTTCTGAAGGCCACAGTGGGACTGCTACCACAGAGAAGCAGATTTGCCCCTAAACCAGAGCTGATCCTCACGACCACACACTTCAGAACACGCTGCAGGAGCTAATACAAGGCTGCTTGGTATATTTCAATTAATCATCTTGCCCTCATCCCATCTGCCACCTCTTTGCTTTGGTCTGGCACGCCCAGCTCCCAGTTTCAGAGCACTCAGTGCAGAAGAGCAAATTGAATCCAATCTCTCAGCACAACCTCCAGCATCTGCTGGCCCACACTGGGATCCCAGCACAGGCTGCTCAGTCCCAGCCTCATCTCTCTTGTTTGTACCACAGCTCCCATTGGACCAAGTGAAGAACATATTCATTGATTTGTACCTGAACTCGGAAGTTTCACATGCACTGTGTTAGAAATAACCAAAATAGCTCTGCTCTGTGTGGAAGCACCTTTTGACTCTGCCATGTCATTGTTTGCAGGGCAGCAAAGGCAGGAGCCCCAGCTCACCCTGGGAGCTCATCTCTGCAGGTCAGGAGCAAGTGAGAGATGCAGGTGCATAAGTGGAGGGATGGGAAAGCAAAACAGGGAAAGAGGCAAAATTCCAAGGCTTATATCACGTGTTCCTTTGAATAAGAACCACATTTGTATGAGTGTTAACATTTCTTAAAAGCTAGCAAAATTTAAACAGAAGTAAATAATCAGAGCAGTGTGTTTACCTCCATCAGTCTTATCTGGTTTTTATAACAGAATTTCTCAGTTTTAAAGAAGATGCTTTTAAAGTCATAACCACGATGTTTGATTTATCACAGGTACTGAGGCCAGGGTGTTTTCTGGCACAGCAGCCAAAGCAGGAGGCCCGGGCAGGAGGAGGCAGCGCTGGAGTCAGGCAGTTCCAAGCACTCTCTGATGAAGAGGATGAAGTCCCAACAGCCCCAAGCTGCCCTTTGATACCACAGCCAGCTGTTTCCTGAGTTTTGTCCATGTGTTTGCCCCTGAGGAACACCTTGTCCTGCATGGCCTCTCTCTGCATTGGCCATTGGGTTTCAGCAGGCAGTGGTGCACATTGGATCTTTAAATGAGACATGACTGTCCTTTTTGTACCAAAATCAACTCAGTGAAATGATGAGTCTGGGTAAACTAATGGAAATCCTATTATCCACCAGCCCAGTTCCACTCTGCTTTCTTTTGGAGGATGCTACCTCAGGCATTCACTTATTTGACATTCATTACTTTTTCTGGAGCCCAGCTGCATTGGCTCTACCCCTTATTTCTTTTTCTCACAGCATAAATAATTTTGATGCCTGCATAGCTCTGAAACAGAGCAGCCATTTCTTCCTGCTCTGCTCAGCCTGGTCCTTCTGCTGGAGAAAATTCATGTGCCTACTGTTCCCATCCATCCCTGGGAAGGGGGAGGGCTGGGCTATGTTTAATAAAAAATATCTTACACTGTTTACTGACCAAAGAGTTGTTCAACAGATGCTCCATTCTTAGCCATACTTAAATTATTCCCTAAGCAAACAATACAAACTGCACACTTCATCTTACCCAACAGAAAAATAAACAGAACATGCAAAATATATGGTTCTGGTTTAAGTTCCCATATAAAGAACACTGATTTCTACTTTGCTTAAATGTTTTCTGCATAATGTTTACTCGGTAATTTATTCTTTTACTGGCTACAACAAATTAAATGTCAGAACCTGTTTATTATAGGAATTTTTAAGACTAATAGTGAGTCTCCTATTTCAGCCTAAATAATGTTGTTGATGAGATACCTCTTGATGGATTGTATAAATAAAGCCAGATACAGAGATTAAAAAAAAAACAAGAGCTAGGGTTTTTTTCCTCGTTTTTCTTAGTTTACCAAAGAGGCAAGTCAATAAAGAAAACAGCTTTATTTTCCCTAAAACTTCTCAGGTGTTTGGGTCTCTTTGTAGAGGTAAGAAAGTCACTACCTGCAAGATCACTGCAGACCTGCTTTGGGGTCCCTCCTACCACATCCCCCTGTGTCCTCGGATGCAGCCAGGAGCTGGAGGGACGGGGTGGGGCTGGAGCTGGGGTGTCCCAGGGCACTGGGAGCAGCCCCCTCCATCTCCCAGTATGGCTCTGGGGGCCCCTGGGACACCAGACTGGGAGCCACTGAGGACAGTGCCAACCACAGAGCCCCTGTTCCTTCCAGCCAGGGATGCCTTGGAGGGATGGATCTTGACACTCCCAGAACAACCTGCCCAAGTGGCCGCTCTCCAAATGAGATGTAGGTCAGAGGAGTGTTAAAGAACACAGAATCATAGAGTGGTTTGGGTTGGAAGGGATCTAACAGATCATCCTCTTCCAGCCCCCTGCCACGGGCAGGGACACCTCCCACTAGACCAGTTTGATCAGAAATGGTAACAAAGCTGACAGGATCCATGCAAAATGACTCCTTTATTTAAATAACTCTTTTACCAACGCTTGTTTCTTATGCAGCAGCAGTGCTAAGAGGGAGAGAACATCTCTTGGAGCTTCTTCCCACTAAGAAATTCCAAACTCAAGAGGAAAGACCTGTAACTGAGACAAAGAGGATTTCCTTTAGTTCCTTTTGTATCCATGTAGGTTGCTGAGTCTTTTCTCAGTGAATTACAATAGATCACTCAGCTCAGGATCTCTTTACAGTCTCCTGGAAATAGTTCCAATAACAAGAGATGGAAATATTCAATTCATGCAAGGAGTTAGGAGAAGATTCAAACACTCAGCGTGAAAATTAGCAGCTCATAAGAACAAAATTTCTATTTCCTCTCCACCCTGCCACCAAATCTGCAGCCAGTAGTGGGCTCAACCAGCTGAAGTTAAGGGCTGTCTCACGTTTTATGGGATCTGAAGGAGTCACCCATCATCATCTGTTGGGGGTCAGACCAGATACTGAGAAGACCTCCAGGCTCATGCAGGGGCTGGGATCCCAGCAGGAGATGGGTACAGCCCTTGGGAAGGAGCTGAGCTCCAACCTCCCCTGTCCCAGCAACCCCAACCCCACACAGCTCATGCTCCAAGGAAACAGGAATAGCTCTGTTGTGCTTCTCTGCTGCTGGGAAAGTCAAACACACTCTCTCATTCCTGTGCATTGGTTACTGCCACGAGTCTGCTCTCCACTGATGGGCTGAGCTGTGTGACAAACACTGCCTGAGGGTTCAGAGTTATCATTGAGGGAAGTGGCACATTCAGGGCTTGTTCACTGGGACACCGAGCTGGAAAATGCTTTCAAAATCCACTGAATAGAAATATAGAGCAGTAGAAGAAATGCTGTCACAGTATGGACGGAGAAAGACACCTGTGTCTTCATCCAGAAAAGCCAATTTTTATTCTTCACAGCTCATATTTTTACGGTTTTCTAAGGCATCATGTTTAATTCTAATTGGTTAGTAACTTACGGCAATTCAGGTCATTGGTTAGTAATGGCTACTGTACGTGTCCATCAAAAACTTTGGTCTCCAGGGATGTTTACATTCTTGTTTCCTGGAAAAAAGATGTTTCACATGGGTAGAATCCTTCTTCTCACAGGTGCAAATTGGTTCCCACAGGAATAGATTGATATGCAAGCTGATTCTCGCTGTTACAATTCCTTTTTCTCTGGGACTTATCAGGATAGCTCTTAGCTGTACCCGGCCAAAGCAGCAAGTCCTGAGCCATGATTTTACAAGGCCTTTCTTTTGTCAGGTTTTACTCATATCCCACAAAATACATCATAAAATGACACTTTGAACATCACTGTCAACAGACCCAGTATCACAAATACTTTTATGGCATGTTTGCTTGAGAAAGAGACTGTGAAAGGCATTATCCTGTGAATGTTGGTATATTTTCTTCTGCAGGATGATACAGCACAGACCTATGAATGCAGGCCCCAAGGCTGGAGCAACCCAGATGATCTTGAATATCAAAATGTACAATCATGCATCGCCTGCAAAGGCAAAAAGACCACTTGGCATTGAGTAACTACAGCCTCATTATCATTGTAACTTAATTATTATTTGTACTGCAAAGCTTTTCCCAGTGTCAGACCCATAATCATCTCTGAGTAAGAGGTTTATATTCCTCTTCCTGTAAATCAAACTTGGAACAAATAAAATTTTATGAAACTTTGCTGACCTCCTGCTGTTGCTTCTGCATTAGCTTGCCCCAGCCAAATCCCTGTGTGTCCTCTTGGACAAACAGTCCAAGTCCTTCCACCAAAATTACACACTAAATTTACAGACCCCTTGTTTTTCACTATTCCATTAGAGAGTAGAAACAGCATAAGACTTATATAAGGAGTGACCCCAAAACATGAGAAACTTGCAACCTCTGCACAGATCACCTCTGAACTTGCAAAGGGCTCAGTTAGTTGGCTAACAGAAATATTTACCCAGCTAGAGGGAAAATACTCAGCCACAGATTTTTATCTAACAGTGTCTCTAGTGACAGCTCAACATGGAATTTGTACTCAAAGGGGTAATTTAGCTTCAACAAGCTTTTTCTACAAAGAACACTGAAAATTGCACTTTCTCTGGTCGATGCTTTCATTGTTTCTGGAATAATGTTCTCTTAGTGTATAGAAGATTACTCATATTTTGTTACTCATATTATTTACAGACATAGGTCTCAACACATACACAGGTATTGTGTGTACCACTGAGATGCTGGAAAGAAAAACTGCTGAGATTTCCACCTCTCCAAGAGGGAGAGAGGTTTGAACCAGTTCCCAGATGTCACATGACAGTTAAAATAGAATTATACTCCTGTTTTTATTCAAATAACTACTCTAAAATTACAAAAGATAAGTACTACCTTTCAGCATGAATAAACTTGAACACATGCTAAAAATAATCCCACATTAACTCCTGAAGTTGCTGCCTTCTGGAAGGTGTAAATGGATAGAGCTTGCTTTAGATGTTTTACATAACCACATGTCAAAAAATTCAATAGAACAAAAATTGCATATCTGAAAACTGAAGGTTTTGAGAGGTAATGTCACTTATTTTTTTTAAACAGCATCTCAAATCTTTTATCTAAGATGAAGATATTTGATGCCAATAATTTTTTTTCCTCTGGTGGCATAAAAAATTTAGGGGATGGATAAAAAGGTCTAAAAGAGTCTAGGGATTAAGGTACAATTTTCTCACCCTCATTTAGAACCGTTTGTACTTAAGAATGTGAGTAGCCCTGATGAAATCAATGAACTCCACTGCAGAGAAAGGGACAACTCAAAATCAGGAGGGCAAGCAGTGTCTGAGCCACTTGTAATAAATGTCTTCCAGTGGCAGACTGTGGTTCCAGCTATAAACCAGAATCCTCTCCTTTTTTTATTTTTGCATATCACAGCAGATTTTTACCTGAGCCAACTGGTAACAGCGCAGGACATCACCTTTTGGCTCTGCTGCCATGGAAGATGCTGAGGCTCCTGCAAGCTCAGAGAGGAGTTATTTACTATATATCACTTATTTCTTATAAATTTCTCTCAACACAGCCGGGGGACAGCGCAGCAAAGCTGCAGCAGCTGTCAGGGAGTTTCTTGAGGAAGGGCAGGGCTGGGCTCTGTGTGTTTCTCACAACCCAGAGGACAATTTCCATCCTTGATTCAGGCAATGCTTTCAGAACATACATTTCACCAGCAGAATGTCTGGAACTGTGAATAATAAAAGAAGCATTAACCCAAGTACACAGATTACAAGATACAGCACAAACAGCTTCCTTCTATGTGCAAGGGTGGGTTCTGTAAATTCAAGTAAAGCAATATCATAAGTAGGCAAAATACAATATAAAATGAATTTGTAAGTACTAAGCAAAGAGTTTGAGAACTACTGCAAATGGCAACTTCTGAGCATTTAAAATGTGAAAGATTATGCCTTACTGGAACAGAATTCCTCAGGACTCACCATTTGGGCTGTAGTGTCAAGCACAGAATCTCTAAATACCTTGGCCTCACTCTGACACTTTTGTACAAATCTTAATTACAAAGACATGTTTTCAAAAATTATGGTATATATTATTTTAGAAGAGTTGTACTTCCCAACAGTATAGTGGTATCCAAATTCCAAGCTGATAAATGTGCAGTGAGACTCCTTAATGTTACTCAAAGTTCCAGTGTCAGGGAGGAAATTACATACTGGACCAGTTCCCAGAGAGAGTTTGTAAATTCATTTGGGGTCCCTAAACACTGTGCATGTGAGCTGGTTTTCCAATATGTTACTAGGCTCAACACTGAATAACTGGGGAAAGAAATTCCTGTAGAGATCCCAGGATTGGATAGCCTTTACAACACAGAGTCTTTCCCTGCGGTGTCCAGCTCGACATCCATAACTGGTAGGACAGACTGACTTAATTTTTTGTTACTGAGATCTATTCAGCTCATAACTCCACAGTTCTCACTGCTCTGAGTTGGTTCTGCTCTGATGACTTCACCCCCTGAAGTATAAATGCCTGCCTCATTTGGACATCAAATACCACGCACTGGGGGTGGAAGGGTTTTGAAAGTCCACAGCTCACCCTTCTGTGTTCTGACACGCATCAGAAATTCTCCCTGCTCCAACTGGAGCAGAGAAATCCCAGCACAGGCTCTTTCACAGCCAGTTACTGCAGTCATGCATTTGTAAATCATTCTCAGCTGTGGATATTTATTATTCAAACATTTATTCTTTTATCAATAAACATCCTTCAAAGCTGAGCCTTTGCTCTGTAAATAACTTGAATTTAACAAGCAAATTTTAGGCATTTTTTAAAGACCCAAACAATATGAATGTACAGTTAAGGATCTTTATCTTTGCAATCAGTCATTTGTCATCATTTTCCTTCTCTCTACTTTCAAGTTTTAGCAGAACTGTGTAATATTATGTCTTACATAATACAGACTGGATAATTACCAAATGTCCCATATGTTGTAGGTCATTCCCACAGCTGCTGATGCTTAAACTCTTGCCTCCTGTTTCTCCATGAGCAGGCATTCTACCAAGTTTTGATGCACACAATAGATTGGGTGCAACAGAGAAAAAGAATTCCTTTCCTTTAACAAAAAAAAAAAAAAAAAAAAAAAAAAAAAAAAAAGAAAAAAAAAAAGAAAAAGAAAAAGAAAAAGAAAAAGAAAAAGAAAAAGAAAAAGAAAAAGAAAAAGAAAAAGAAAAAGAAAAAGAAAAAGAAAAAGAAAAAGAAAAAGAAAAAGTTTTGAACTACCAGAGCAGAACATTTTAATTAGGCTGATAAACAAATCAGTTCAAAGAAGTATCAGAATCTTCCATGAGATGGCAAAATTTATCCAGCTGTGAATTTGAGGAGTGTATGCCGAAGGCAGCCTGGAGTCTGGAGGAGAGACAGGAAATTATATAAACAGCTGCAGGAGAAGAGGGGTTATTTTATTTACATGAGACATGATAAGCAGCACTGCCCCTGGCACAGGGATTCATGAGGAAATTCACATTGCAGGACTGTCAGGGACTGACACTTTGAATCTGGAGGCACAGAATTCCTGGGGCTCCCACAGCCTGGTGTTTGGGAGGGGGTAATGAGAGCATTTTGTGAGAAAAGCCAGTCATGGCTCAGTGGGAAAGGCACATTGTCGTGTCAAACTATGAAGATGTAGAGCTTCCAGGAGGGTTTCGTTTTCTTTTTTCCTGCAGTTGTTTTGTTTAGCCAAGTATAATCTGTATTTTAAAGCAAACAAGATGGTGGTAACCAATGGGTCACCTCATTCTCTCACAAGGGCTTTGTGGAAGGGGAAAGTGATTGTGCTGCCTCACCAGAAAAGATGGTGATTTGAGTAAGTCAGCTCAATTGTCTGAACAATATTCTGCAAACGAGTGAAAAAAATTTGTATCAGAGAACAAAGGATGAGTCACACAGAATTACTCAATAAGAAACAGCAAGTCAACTACCATAGGATTTGGGTGATGTGGATATCTCCTGAAATTATGCCTCACTGCAGCATCAGTCATGATGGAAACAAGACACACAGCAGTGAAAATACTCTGTCATTCCATAAGTGGAAAATTTCAGGTGACAAAAACCAAAGCAAAACTCAGTCACACTGTATTTCACATAGCTTGTGTAGACTCTGCAAAGTGAGCCCAGAAATCTCCCAGAGAAGTCTGAGGGGCAGTGATGTTTTACCCACCATCCCCTCAGGAACAGGAGACTGATGACAGGAATGATTGAGGCTGGATTTTGACACTTGAGCATACATAGAGTAGGTGTAGAGAAGATTACAGTTATGCACACAGATGGAAGTAGATCACTGGAGAACAGAAGTGTGACAGTATTAAGACAGATAAAGTAATTTATTTTATAGGAAACGATTATACAGTTGAGAATTGTGGGGTGCTTTCTTTTCCATCAGAGTGAAAAGGAAAGAATATCTGATTTTATTCCACATGATCCACAAGATGTGTCATGTGCTTCTGATGGATTCAGAGACATGAAATGGTTTAGAGAGTGGGTGAGCATTTGGATTTCTACCTGATTGACAATGTGCAAGTCAGGGAATTGGCCCAGCATCAATGAGTATCTCATTAATTTTGGCATTAAATACTGTCAACATTGAAGGAAGAAAGTCATGTAACAGGTTCACAATCAAGACGTTGCCCTATATTTGAGGAATCAGCATTGAAATTAATATAATTTTATTAATTCCCTGTCACAGGCTTTGCCCTGTGGAAGCTGAAACAGTTCTTATGATTAAAAGTGTGTTTTTTTTTAACCAGTGTTTCTCAGTGTCCACTTAATCTAGTGACAAAACATTAAAAAACCCCAAAACTGCTGGAACTCACCCACTGGGAATTATCTTGATGTCAGCAAGAGCTTCCACCCAAATCTGCCACAATAGGGTCTTCTGCTCAGAATTACAGGATTTTGTATTGCTTTCCAGCAGCCTGCACAGATCAGAAAATATTCTGCATTCAGATGCTAATGCTTCTGTCTTCTGTCCCAGGTAAGGTGTGCACAAAGCAGGGCTGATTCCTGCAGCAGAGGGGTTTGTACTCATTGTGTTCTGGTATGCTGAGGCCAAATTCTCTCTTTAGACAACCCAGAAGTTCTACAGAAATTAAAATATAAAATCTGGAATTCTGCTTGAACAAGATGGAAGAAAACGAGTCTTTAAGAAGGAGAAGCAATTTGAGGTAGCTCAAAACTATTTCAGAAATTAATTGACTTTGAAATAATTGGCAATGTTATCTAGGCACCAGGTAGTCAATTATTTATTTTATGAGGTAAGATGTCTAAGGGATGTTGAAATTGGAGAGCAGAATACTTGTATCAAATATATGGGTTTTCCTGCTAGTTTTCCATAATGTTATCTGTAAAATACATACAGACAGTGCAAAGGCATCAGAGCCTTTTGTGTATTCTTCCTCTGCACATTAGAGAGGGAGATATTAAGAGCTGAGCAAATCATCAAAGGAAATGTATGTGGCCAAATTCTCTTTGTTTGAGTAGACTACATATTTTCTGAGGCTCTGAGTCCAGAGACACCAGATGGTTGTTTTTTCTCAGATATTTAGGCACCTACACATGCAAATAGATGCCCAGCAGTATTTTCAAGCATGTCCAACGCTTCATTCTATAAATAAGCATTAAAAATATTGATGCAACATTTTCATCCTACGATTTTTTTTTCTCTGAAATATCAAAGGAAAAAATACTTCTATGGAAATCTTTAACTGAAGAGATGAGCACCCCCAGGCTACAGAGGGGGACCACACAGATATTTCTGCCAAATACAACACTAGACAGTGGAAAGTGATGGCAGCAGCTCTAGGAACAACCTGGCACTGGAGGAGTTAAAAACTGCAGTTAAAGAGAGATTAACAGCTACAGCCAAATTTAGTTGTGTTGCAACCATGTAGTTAAATATCTCTGTCCCTCCCTACCTTCCAGTATTCCCCAAAACTGAATGGGGACACAAAAACACACTTGGGAGGGGTGATTTGAAGAAGTCCAGCTGACATTTACCCAACAAAAAATCAGCAGAGTCCTGAACCCCAAAAAGAGAAGAAGGAAGCAGCTCAGAGAGGAGAAGATGAGAAGTATAAACACTAAACAAAAATACCAAATTTACTCCCCCTTTTCTAGGACCATGGATCTTGTGTAGCTTAATGCCACAGTTTAACAGCCTGTGCTGGGCTCTGCTGAAGAGGAATAGGGTTTTATTTCTGTTCTTGAGAAGAATATAGGGTAAGAAGAATATATGATGTTTTGTCCTAGAGATAATATTTTTAGATTCCTGACACTTGAGTAAATTGGTTTATAGCAAAATACAGAGGAAGACGGTCTTGGGGAACAATTAGGAAGTTTTTAAATGCAACAAAAAGTTACAAGGAAAAAATTCTCTTTGCTATAATTGATAGTTTTGTCTCAAAGGGAATTAACAGAATTTTATGACTTTGATCTTCTAAAGAAAACTGAACTTTTGCTTCAGTTTCAGCATGGATGCCACAAGAGAGAAAACACCAGCCTTTTAAAAGAGGCAATCCTACATTTGTCACAGCTGCCCTACTGAAGTTCAGTTCAAGAGATCAGTTAGAGATTTTGTGCATAAAATCCATTATAATTAATGAGCATTGATAATTAATGGCTGGCCTGATGTAGCCTTTGAGAAGAATCACAGCTTTTCTCCTTATGATCTTAATGCAACAATTTCACTTTACGATCATGACCTTTCTATCTACTTAAAAACTTAGCAATGGGTTAAATGGTAGCAGGAGTTAGATAATTCCACTATTAACCAAAGTTAAAAGCTCTTTAGTTTGCTGTTCTCAGAGACTGCACTAACTGTTCTGATTGTGAAGCATGAATTTTAATAACAATACTGTACTGTACTCCTCACCTGCATAGGTTTAGAATTAATTAAAATACAACAGGAATGTATCTGCTTCTATCTAGGCAAGGAACATGACTGAGTAACAACATCTTCCATCACCTCAAAAGAGCCATCTCTTGCTAACACTGCTTTCCTCTGCAAAATTAAAAATCAGGTAAAGTTTTTACTTTACTAATGGGGGAAATTAGTTGCAAGTATGTCTATTTGCTTTATATTTCATGCTGTTTTATGAGCACTGTTACAGGTGGGAAAAAGAAAATTTTGTCTTTCTAACTGATAGTGGAGTTTGAGTTTCTCAAATTTATTTCCATTAAATCATGGCAATGAAATTAAAACCAATTTTCTTGCTCCATGAAAGAGCAGGTATTCCAGAAGCAATAAGATCTTAGATAACTAAAATAACCCTTGTCACACCCTGATAGATTTTATTGGCAGGTACATTCAATAAGCCCAAGGAGCAGAGCGGCATTGCCGAGTACTGTAAATGCAGGCGAACCCAATGGGAAGAAATGACAATGTCTGACTCAGTTTAGAAGGCTGAGTTATTTCTTTATTATAACTATGCTAAAATACATTAATATACTATACAAAAGGGGGATACTAAAACTACAGACTACTTTCTCTGACTCTATCTCTAACCCTCACACAACTCGTGACCCTCGCTCCAGTCCAGCCCCAGGTGGGTTGGATTGGCCATCAGGCTCAAACAATCCTCACCAGAATCCAACCAAGCAATCACTCCAGGTAAACAATTCTCCAAACACACTCCACATAGGAAAAACAAGGAGCAGAAATAGAAATGGTTTTCTCTTTCATTTCTCTCTGCGCACCTCTATGAAAAATCCTGAGAGGGAGAGAAATGTGCTTGTGCAGCCGAGGGCATTTCCAGCTTTGCTGGGCTGGGCAGTGAGGAGCAGGGCAGGAGCATTTCTCCAAAGTTTCCCAAGGCACAGGCTGCTCCTGCACGCTGCTCTGCCATCCCCTGTGGCAGCGTGGGCAGGCACCTTGTCTTGATTACTGCTAATTACACAGAGCCAAAGGCGCGGAGCTGTCACAGCTGGGGAAGGGACATGAGGACGAAGGGGACTCACAGGGGTGAGCTGTGGCAGCCTCGGGGATGAGGAAGGCTGGATTCCCTCCTGCAGGCATTGGCAGCTGCGCTTCCCACTCACAAATCTCCTTTTCCACCTCTCCCTGGCAGAAGGGCTTTCCTCTCCTCTGGCTCTCCACAAAGGTCTGACCAGCAGCTCTCACAGAAAGAAGGAGAGGGTGCTCCAGGGTTTGTAGAGACACTTAGGAATCTGGATCACCTGAAAAATTTCACCTGATTCAAGGCTGGGTCTGCTCAGGCAGGGACAGTGCATTGTCACTACTACAATAAAATTTATCTGAAATAGAAAGTGCTGACAATATGAAAATATGTAACATTTTGTAATATCAAATCATTGTCTGGGATTCAGACTCCACCACAGAACAAGGAATAAACAGACAAAGAAACCTGATGTACAGGTCTAAGAGCCTTTTGTCTCCCTTTTAGTGTGAATATCTTCAGTGAACAAAACAAATCTTCCAGATCAGCTCTTCTGTAGGAATGGAAATTACAAATTTACCCTTCTCTTGTACATCTGCAGGTGTTTTTAGAGAGCAGAAAAATAAGGATGAGGTTTCTTTTCTCAATTAAAGACTTCATAAAACGAAATTGAAACAAAGTTTTTGTTCTGTCATGCTTAATTTACTTCAGTTTGGGGCACACAAGATTTCAGCTGATGGAAACCTGGTCTCTGCTGAGGACAGACCATCCCCTGCTTTGGGCAGGCCCTGTTTTCAGAGGTGTTCTGTGTGTTTTAGAGGAGGTTTCTATCATAACATCAAAAAGACCCTGGAGTTAAAAACAAGCAATGTGATTTCTTGAGTCAGACTGCTCTGAATGACAAATTAGAAATCACAAAACTGTTTTTCTTTATCAAGCAGCACACAAGCAATTAAACTCCCCAATCCCTGGCCTGGGGAACGCTGTGTTCAATTTTCCTTTAATTTTTTCACAGTCATAGATGGAAATACGTCTTAAAGCAGTAGCCAGCCACGTTGAGGACTGGTGCTCTATTGGGATGATGGTATAACTTTCCAGAGAGTGTCAACAGATTATTAAGATTTCAGCTTCATCACCCCCAGGGTCCAGCTCCATCTTCCACCCTGTTTTAGATGGTTCTTTAGTTTTTTGTTGTTTTGTTTTTTTTTTTTTTTAATCTTTTAACCACATCAGAGCACCTTGTTACCTTTACTGATTAATCCTCTGGATCCCTGCAGGGTAAGGAAGTATTACCAAGTCTGTTTTTCAGACTAAGGAGGAGTTTGCAAACTGAGATAGTGCAAAATAGACGTCTTGTTGCCCAGAACATGACCAGAGACACCCAGTTTTGGCATGCAGGCAGGGAGGCAGGAACACCATGGGCTGGGAAATAACTTCCCTCTGCATGTCATGGGGATCTCCCAGGTTTAATAACTCACCTTATTGCTTGCTGTTGACTCCCCTCAGAATTTACAGTTAATATCAACCTTAAGAAAAACAGAGCAAAAATCAATAACCAGAGAAGAAAGAGGAGCCCCATCTCCCCAGGCTGTCACCTGCTGCCTGACAGACACAGCCACAGCTGCCCACCCCTGACAGACCCTGCCCAGGGCTCAGAAAGAGAGGAGGAAAAATTTCTGACACCAGACAGGTGAGTTGTACCAGCAAGAAGCCATAAATAAAGACAGATCCTGGTAATAAAAGAACCCTGTGATGATCTGTGAAGCTTCACAACAATCCTTGGCTCATCCCAAACACCTGATACTGGCAAAATTAATGTAGGGAGAAGGAGGGTGAAGCCAGAGGATTTCTGCCTGAGAGTTCAACACTTTTTCAAGAGATGATGGGGACCCCCAGCCACTCTTGGTCTGAATTCCTACAATGAAGTTAACATTACAGTTAAATAGGAAGTTTTGCAGCATACCAGTGCACAGTGCACATAAAAACTAACAGTGCACATAAAAACTAACAGTGCACATACTGCCAGTGCACATAAAAACTAACAAAATCAGCCACTAAATGGAACCAGTGGAACAGGTAGGAGGAGGGTTATACACACAGGTGGGGGATATCTTTTGTGCAGCAACCTGGAGAAAGTCTGCTTTTAATCTTTTTGAGAAGAGACATGAATAGGAGACAGGCGAGAAGCACAATTTTCCACAACCTCCCCAAATCTCCTTCTGATCCTCAGAGGATCTATTCAGGATGGCACTGATACTGCCTCTTGTTCATATTGCAAGTTGGTGAGGGATTGTAACACCAGAAGCAAACTGTATTCAAAACTGAAACCTTGCAGTGAGTTGTAACCCTTCATCCTTTCTTTTCTTACTAAAACTCAGCGCCCAGTAGTTTGGGTTAAAGGCTGGCCATGCAGATCCAGAGAACAGCACACAGCCTTGTTACTGCACACTGTGCCCTTGGAGCTGCCTCCCCGCCGCAGAGACAGGCTGGGCCAGGGACAGCGCCAGGAGCATCCTGGTGCTGCAGGGGCATCCTGGAGCATCCTGGTGCTGCAGGGCCAGGACTGCCCTGCCCCTGAGCCATGCAGGCAGCACCCCAGGGCCCGTCCGAGGGCTGAGCTGGCAGCCCTGGGCTGGGTGAAGCTTTTCTCCTGCTGCAGAGCCCAGCCCAACATCCACGGCCCCTTTTGTTCCCAGCTCAGCTGACAAAGCAGCTCTGTTTGACTCGGGATCTGCTTGAGTGTAAAGGAGGAACCAAGGACAACCTTTCTCTACAATTAAACCTTTTGCTTTTCCTCCCAGAGCACCTCCAGCTCGTGTTCTACCTGTGTGGATGTGTGGCAGCTGACCCAGGAGTGTCACTGGGTGCCCACCCACATCTCCTGGCTGTGTGAAACTCGATCAAGCTGCACTCTGTCTTCTGAACACACAAAGAAGGCAACTGCACAGAGAAAATGACAATTTTTGTCAGGACCCAGGGAATTCATGCGTGACCACACAACCTTTCCCCAAGGGTGAAGCTCTTCACCCTGCAGAAGCCCCCAGGAGCTGTGTGGGGCTGCCCACTGTGCTGGGCCAGTGCAGGCAGGGCAGGGAGGCTGGGATGCTCCCACCATTCAGATAACATCCAGAGTCCTTCCCCTACACCCCCTGGAGCAGTGGCAAAGCTGACTGGGGTGGCAGGAGGTGTGTGGTGCTTATTGCCCAGCCCCTGCCTGGGTGAACCACAACACTCCTCCCAGCCCAGAGGAGAACAATGGATCTGGGTGCAGCACTGACCAAATACACACAAGCTCCCTTTTACAGAATCCCAGAATGGTTTGGGTTGGAAGGGACCTTAAGGTCACCCAGTTCCACCCCACTGCCTTAGACTTATCTGGAAACTTCCTAAATGCTCCTGCTTTAGCTGGTGCAGACATGTCCTGAGGAACCTAATGGTAGAATTTAGTTTGAAATAGCACTTAAAAGCTCTTCTGAAATAAAGCATTTTCATGACTTCTCTGCACTTGAGCCAATTTCTTCAGGCAGCCTGCCCCATATTTAAGAACCAAAGGCAAGATCCCCACATTAGGTGTCTAGTGCTAGGTTTTAAGGCCCTGCACTTGAAAATATGTTCCTGAATATCTGATACTCAGGCACCTGGAAATAAGCATTTGCCTTTGGAGCGAACAAAAAAGGAAAGCATCCCTGTATGTTATTTTTATTTTCTTTCCTTTATATGGTTTTAAGCTGCTTTTATGCGGCACTGGAAAGTTACAGCCCGTGATTTGTTGCATTCTGGTCTGCTAATAGAAACATCCCCCTGACTGCTGCTCACTCTGCAGAGCAGGAGGATCGTAATGCAGATTGTAAATGGTTGCATTACGGGGAAAGATAATGTTTCTTTCCACTTTCATTTCCCTCGGTTGGTGTTTATCGTGGCAGGGGTTGCGTAAGCATATGAGAGAGAGATCATGCATTATTTACCAGGCTGGGACTGGGGAAAGGCTCCAGCCTTTCAGAGGGTGGATGAACGCCCAGCAATTCCCACCCGCTAAGATTTGTGCTGTGTTTGGTGGGAGCTTGGCTGAGGAATTGTGAAAGCAAACAGGATCATCCTGCCAGCCTGGAGAGAGGCAGGGATGGGGCTGAGGGACACAGGCTCTGCTCTCTCTCTGTTCAGCTCTGGACAGTTCATGGCAGTATTTATCTCACTCCTTGGCGAGACTGCACCAGAATTGCCACCAAGTCACCAGAACCATCAACCAATTCCTAAAGGTCTGCTGGGGCTCCAACACACCTGAACAAAATTTCTTGCTCTTGAATGTAGCCGAGGGCAGCCAAACCCAGAGATGGGGCTGACCCAGGAGGAGACACAAGCCTTTCCAGCCCCAGGATTGTCCCCACAATGCCACCGGGGCCAGTGATGCTGACCCAGTTTCTAAATGGAACAGGAAGTTGCAACACTCTGAAGTTTATTATCATTAAAATCTAGCCAGGGTTAGAGGCTCTGTTTGTCCCTGCAGTGCTACTGCCAGTGCACATAAAAACTTACAAAATCAGCCACTAAATGCTGGCAGCCTTGGGAAAGTATTTTTTTAAAAAATCCTAAAAACAAGAAACAAACACAGTGAAACTACTAAATAAGGAATAAGTTAATGAGGAAAAATTAAAAGGTACTGGAGACTTTAAATACTCTTTCAAATTAAGGAGTACAAAGAGAAAAGATCAGCTCTTATTTTTGCAATTAAGGTGTTATTTACGGCAATTTAGCTGTTTTAAGATTAAGCTTGGAAACAGTGCCATGGAAAATACATCTTATTTACTCCCAAGGCTTCTCATCAGTTTCTAGATGAGCACCAGCCAGCCAGCCAAAAGGCAAGAGGAGTTCTGAACTCCCTGTAAAACACCCTGAGGATTGATGCCCACACTGGGCAGCTGCACTGTGACCACTGGGAACAGCCACAGCACTGGCACCAGAGCTGAGCTACGGCACCTTCAGGGCAGGAACCTTCCCAGGATGAGAGAGAACTTTGTGCAGGAGCAAAAGGGGGAAAATAAAGATTCTGCTTCTGTGTCTACGTGCAGCCTGCATGTGAAGAGGGGTGGGAAGAGGGTGCTCAGGGGGGCTCCCTGTGTGTGCAGGGCAGGGATGCAGCCCCATGAGGCTGTCTGGGGGCATTTACCAGGCAGAGCAAACAGCCCTGTCCCCGCAGCGAGTGAACCATCCCATCCCAGGACTGTGCCATCCTCCCCAGGGACACAGCCAGGGGAACGCTCCCCACAGGCTCAGGGGAGGGAGGGATGGAGGTGAAAGATGCCAAGGAGCCCCTGGCAGAGCCCTTTCTTCTGCACCACATGTGCAGGGAGGAAACACATCAATGTCCATGACATCCCTATGCATCTTTGGTTGCATTTTCCTCCTATTACAGAGTTGGAAACATTTGCTGAGAACTTGTATGAAAAACATTAAGACTGTGCACACTCCTTGTAGGATTCAGCCCCAGATGCCTTCTTGTTTTTCCTACATATAAATAAAAGCAATAAAGGAAATAAATAAAAAAGTATGTAAAGCTTTGTTAAAAGCAGTTCAGAGAGGAGAGAGCTGAAGATGGGATGATGCTGGGAAGACATTCAGCCTTGCCATGCTGCTGCTCACAGAGTCCCCTCTTTGAAGGAGGCATGAAAGGAGACTTTGCAACATGAGAGTTCAAACTGTGGCTCTGTTGATTTTTCCAGCCCCCACGGCTGCCTGCCTCAGCATCCAGTTCTCTGAACCCACAGAGTAAATAGGTGTAACTCCCGTGGCTCTGCAGGCAGGAGATGTGCTCCAGGGAGGAGCACTGGGGGCAGGCAGGAAAAGCTCCTGCTGCCATCCTGGAGAGCAGCATGAGGCACTCAGAGCACTTGGGCTGAAAAACTGGGGGAAGAGAGAGAGGGAGGAACAAAAATCAAGAAAATCTTCCAGAGAGGAAGACCTCCTTGTGAATGACAAGGTCCCCAGGACTTGTAAGTAAACACACAGCTAATGCCTCGTCTGAGGATGGATGCAGGAGGATGCGAACAGGAATGTGACAGAGATGTGTCAGCTTTTTACCTCCCAGAAGAGCTGCTGGCAGCACAAGGGTTTTAACTGGAGCACCTGGAGATGGCAGGAGATGAGGAACATGCTGACCAGGGCCTCAGAGGGTGTTGATTTGATTTTATTCAAATCTAACTGACCAGAAGATTTCTCTTCTCTTCATTCGCCCTCTCTCAGCAGAAACATTTATTATGCTAAGTGAAATGTTTAACCACTGGCACTGTTGGCTGCAACAGCTCATCATAAGCAGCTTTAGCATTCGCTGGGATCGGCGCCCTGGGGCTGGAGGTGGTGTCTTCCTCTGCCCAGTTATTCTTCCTCGCTCTTCTCGTCTCCCCTGCCCATTTTTCAGGTTGCAATGCGTTAAAATAAAAGTATTAACGGCGCTTATCTTTTGCATGGGAGACTGTGAGAGCAAGCTGGCGAGCAGCCAGGAGCTAATAGCAGCATAAAGCAATTTGCTGAAAAAAAGAATTAACATGCTAATTGTCAGGCTGGAGAGGGTGCTGCGGATCACAGAGGAGTAAAACAAGAAAAAAAAAAAAAAAGGACATTGATTAATCTAGATTTAAACAATAAAGAGCTGAGGAAGAAAGAAGGGTTCTGAAGCAATTTTCTTTTTTGTCCCGTTCTCTGCTACCCTCCCCCAGCTGAAAACCTCCAGCCAGAGCCTCAGGCACTCACGGGAATTTATCCGAAGATCTCTTCCTTTTTAGCAGCGTGCCAGTGCCAGCTGCACGTTGGGCTGGAGCCGGTGGGCAGCACCGCGCTGGGCTCGGGGCTGGGGCTGCTGCGGGGCACAGCCGGCTGGGCACAGCTGGGCACGGCTGGGCACGGCTGGGCACGGCTGGGCACGGGGACTGACCCTCGCCCGCTCCCAGGGGAGATTTTCCGTGTTTCTTTCTCGAACAAAAGGACATCGCTTTTTTTTTTTTTTTTTTTTAATTATTATCTTTTAAATTTATTTCTCTCAAAGCAATGAAAGGAGTGCCTGGAAAGCTCAAGCAGGAAGCTGAGCCTCTTAACTCCAGAGAGCGCCGTTAACTGGGATTAAGAAAGTCAACTAATGCTTCCCAGCGCCAGGATTCCGGCAGCACGGAGCCTCCCGAGGCGGAGAACCGCGGCGGCACATCCAGCGGGCAGGAGCCGCCTCTCCCCGCAGATGCCGTTTCAGCCCGGATTTGTGAGCATCCCACCCCTGCAGCGCAGCGAGGGGCGCTGAGAGCGGCCAGACCCGGCCCCAGCCCCAGCTCCAGCCCCAGCCCCAGCTCCAGCCCCAACCCCGGTTCCAGCCCCAGCTCCAGCCCCAGCCCCAGTGCCAGCCCCAGCCCGGCCCGAGCCGCTCCGCTCAGCCCCGGCGCTCCGGAGCTCCCGCACATCCCGCCTGACCCGCACATTTCACCAGACGAGGCGTGCTGGAGGAACAAGGACACGAGGTACCTCTATCATTTTTGATTCATATTCGTGGATAAATGCTGTAAATATGAGCCAAGGAGGTTTAAAAGAAAGTCATTGAGCCATGCAAGTGAATTGATTTGTTTCAGACAACATGCGGCTGGGTTGCATCCTTTTGCAAGCAGGAACATTATTTCTTTCCTATGCCAAAGACTGACTGCGTTTGCCCTCCTGTTTTACTTCGGCTGTGGAAGAAATTTAAGCAAGAACATGTATAGTGAATTGCTGAATTCAACCAGTGCCACTGAAGCTCACCTAATGATTCAGACCAACACGCCCTACCTGAGCAGCACTCCGAGACCCGTGAGCTCCTCTGCTCTGTACATGTCGACAGCCAGGGTGTTAAAAGAAGGGGAAATAAATAAGCCAGACCTGGTGACTTACATCATTCTATTTTTCTTTCTGTTCTTGACTGTGACATTCATTGTGTTCTTCATCAACTGCCAGCTGAAAAATTCTTTTTTTGCTACTCTTCCTTACGACAGATCGCTCAGGGAGGCGAGGAACCCGTGGAGGACACAAGCTGTCTGACACTTCTCATTCCAGCAGGAGCAGGCACCACAATCCCTGTGCAAAGAGGAGTTGGTGCCGTGTGCCAGTGTATGGATGTGACCCCCTTTAGAGTAGGGGGCAGGAGGAGATTGCTCAAAATCATGCTGTATGCCAATCTGAGTAGCTGTAAATAAAAAGCTCTGTTATGAACTGAAGAGAATGCTTTAGCAAATTTATACAGTTTTTGCAAAAAAAATTGCCCCGTGATTCCAGATTAAGCTCTGTGTGTATGCAAATGTCATCATCCACCCATTCAGTGTCCATACAAGGATAATTGTATTAACAACAATTTCTGATTTGGTCATCTGGTGGAGCTTGTTCCCCCATGTTTATGAAACCGAGCATCAAATGTAAAAAAATAGTGTGTTTGCCTAAGAGCTCCACAGAGATGAGTTTACTTTCCAGACCCGTTTCTCCCAACTGCTGCTGGAAATGCATGGTGATGCTGTGGGAGGCCTGCCAGGCAGGAGGAGAAAATGAAAAATGTTTATTTAGGCTTTTGATTGTCATTCTGTTAAGAGTGTTTTTGATGTTTGAATGCATCATCGATCAAGTCTTAAGTTACTATTTATGTGAAACACTTACCACCTAAGGAATTTATTTTCATCTTTCATAAGCTGCAAAGGAAATTATTTGCCACAGCATGAAACCAAAATAATCAGGATGGGGAGAAGTGGGGAAAGAAAATTAATATATTTAATATTATGCAAACTAAAGAAAAGTGTGAGCAGAGTGCTCCAAGTTTGTTACACAATGTGGATAAGTTCTGAAAGCCATAAAACAAAGCTTTATAGGAATAGTAGCTTTACTTCACCACTTCTTGCTCTTCATCTAGACCTGGCCCAACTGAAATAATGAATTATCAATATGACAACAGCTTGATTCAACCCTGGTCACTGGCAACCCCTACCAGTTCAAATTACTATCTGATTTTGTTCTAAAATCAGAACAAAAAAAAGCTTCTGCTTAACACTGGTAGGTGACAATCTATTTTGTACATGATGATTTCCTGTAAACTTGCAGTTACAACACAATTCCAGATCAAGCTGCATGAACCTGGGAAGAGTGTCCATAATTCCCACAAACAGCAGGAAAAGTGCTTTTGTTGTTTTTGTTTTTTTTTAATATCAGATGGTTCAACACACAGGAGAATTGCAGCTATCCAGAAACACCCAGTCCTAAATCCTGTTTTAGCTGCAGTTTTGGATATTGGATCATCTGAAATGGGGTTCAAAGTGGTGTCGGATGCTGCTCCTAATCCTGTTCTTGACCTGCAGAATTCTCCAGAGGAGCTGCGTGTATAGATGTCTACATAACTTATTTCATCCAAAGGAGGAGATTTTACAATGCAATTACACATGCATACAGGCTTGCACTCAAGAACACTGACAAAATGTATATGGAAGTTTGCAAGCTTTTTCTTTTTTAATCCAAAAATTGCACAGTTGATAACACTTCCATGTCATTGGCTTTGTTACCATGTTTGATTTTGCTCCAATAAGCTAAACTACTACATAACAGATTTCAATATTTTATTCCTGGATATGTGGCCAATATTTCTTCTGAACCAAATTTAACTGGTGTAATTCCAATTAATGCAGAAAGCAACAATAAATGAAATTGTATTTATCTCAGCCCTTTTTGAATAAATCAAGTTTTATCAAATCAGGCATTTCTTATTTATTTTTAAATAATGACAGCGTGTTTTCAGCTACCAGCCATAATGAATTGGTCTAAGAATTTCTGCTGGCAAAAGCCTCAGAACCCGGCAGAGCACATGTTGCTTTGCACTCTTTATTTAAACATTCAAGAATAGCTCCAGAATAATCCTATTTTTCTCCACAGCCTGGTTGGAGTAATACTACAGAAGAACCTGTCATGCTAAGAGTGTTAACTGATTTTCTAGGAATGCTTTTATCCATGCCCTGTTGTTCTCATCAATATCCAGGATCATTTCTATTGCAGAAGAAAGTTTTATTAATAATATTCAGAATCATAGAATCCCAGAACAGTTTGGGCTGGAAAGGACCTTAAAGATCATCCATTATCAATTTCCCTGCCAATTTCCAATACCAAATTGCTCCAAGCCCCTTCTAATCTGACTTTGAGCATTTCCAGGGATGGGGCACCACCATAATTTTAGCCAATGTACAAAACATATATGTAGGAAACATTCTGTTTCATCAGGCTCAGGATTCAAGCTGACCAAAAAATCCACTTTCCAACCACAAGCACACCAGGGAGGGACTGACAGGCATTGCTTAACTCGCTGGAAATGTTTTATGAGATGTATGACACGTGTGGGGTCCCACATGGATTCTCCATCCCTTTCCCTCATCCTCTGCCAGTCACAGTCCTGCCCCTGACACAAACACACCATTCCCTGCATTTTTTACCAAATCCCATTTTCTCAATGTGCCTTTTAAGAGGCTCTGAACACAGCCCTGCAGCAGCCTCCCCCTCCTGATGGTTTTTCCTCAAGGCAGACTGGAGGTCAATACACTGCAACAGGAAAGATGAGTGACACACCTGGAATGTGGGCCACGAGGCTGTGAGAAGCAGAGTGTTCCCCATGCAGAGAAATTCTCACTATTACAGGCTTTGCTTTCAAAAGATGAGCAGCCCCTGTAACACTTTGAGGAGCATTCATGCACTTCACATCCACGGCTAAGCACTCTGCTGAGTCAGGAGCTGAGAGTTAAAGAGGGTTCTAACTCTCCCTCTGGGCCAGGGAAACAACTCATCACTTCTACCTGGCAGCAGTGAGATGCTTTGAAGTTGATGCCACCCTTTCAATGGATTATTATTATTGTGATATTTCATTCTGTTGGAATATTTCATATGCCCACAGGGAGTTTGCCTGGTTCTGAGTAACCAGAGAGAAACCACCAGCCCTGTGCTCCTCTAGGAGAGCATTCCATAACTCATCCCATTGCTCTGCCTGAATGCTGGGTTTGTTAACATGCTGGGGCCCCAGCAGGACACATCTTTCTTCTCATATTTCCTGCTCCAGGTGGGCTTCCCCACGAGCATTGGTCCTCCTGCACTTTCTCCTAACAAAAGTCAGGAGCTGTGGGTTTTCTGTACCCCATGCCACATGGCCATGACAGTTTCTGCTGGAAAGAGCTCACCTGTTGGACTCACAAGTCAGTGAAACTGCACAACAAGACAAAAGGCAGAGAATAAATCCTAAGAGCTAAATATTCCATGTCTGCCTGGGTGTCAGCCTGGGAACCAAGGCAGTGCTGCATGGCAAGGCTGCGCTGCAGGATCACACTCTCCAAAGCTGCACCAAACCACTGGGGCCACTGCAATTTGTAACTCACTTGCTTTAAGGAGATTTTTCTAGCAGGTTCAAGTCCTGATTTCCTGGTGACAAGCAGCTGCCCCACTCGCACAGAGCAGAGTGTGGCCAGAGCTGACCCCAGCAGATCAAAAGGTTCAGTTCAGCTCTGCCAAGGCAGTGTCCCTGCTGAACACTGCTCTGCCCAAGGTCCTTGCTCTCCTACACATTTTTAGAGCCAGGAGCTTTACCTACCTGATATTTGAAACATGTAAAACAATGGAAGATGTATCAGACTGAGATGGTGAAAGGAATACCTTGATTGTGCTCACAGCACATTTGTATTTAGGAGGTTCTTTCTTCCAGAAACTACATGTATAAGTAGAGAAGTTTGCTCTAAATCTATTAATGCATACAGAAAGTCCCCCAGGCAACAAGGTACACAGTCACATCAAGTTTTTTTTTTTCCTCTTCTTGGCCTCCTTTTTGCCCTCCTGGTATCATCACATTCTTCCCTGCAGGGCTGAGCATCTGCATAGAGTACCACTGGTGAATTCTATTCATGGACAAAGCCTGGTCACTCCTAAGTTGGTACTTGTAAGTTTAATATACTGTACTTACCTCAATTTCTTAGAGAAAATTTAAGAATTCATTCTATTAAAATCTTTTAGTGACACTGCTCACCCGAGACCTAAAATCTTAGAAAATAGTCTCAATTTGGCTCTTACAGAAAAGAGCCCATTTTGTCTGTTTTGTGTCTGTCAAAGTCACACACACAGCTCAAAGCTGTCTCAAGTGGCCCCCAAGTTTGCCATCAGCAGTTTCTCTAAGAGACTTCAGAAAATCAGGATTTGCACGAATGACTGGGTTACATAGCACTTATAACTTAGTCCTGAAAATAAATTCTGTTATTGCAAACAAAAAGTTATTTCTCAAAAAGGAAATGGGGGGGGGGGGGGGGGGAAAGAGAGATATTTATAAGCAACAAAATAAAACTGGCCTTAGAACAGAAAAGTTGCTAATTTAAAAGGTGTGGGTTTTTTCTTCCAATGCCTTATGGAAAAAAGGAGCCCTGCAAGAAGCTGTTACAGAGAATGGCTGGAGATGACCCAACAGCTTCTATCCCCCACAAAGTCACCCTTCAACCCCCTCATCTCACACCTCCATGGGAGAGAAGTAGTTATACAGACTTTGTCTTTGGGAAGGGAAATGTCACCTAAGTATGCTTATTTCTGAACACAAGTTGGAAGCTTATTTTCAAGCCCTAAGTCTGAAAAAACCTGATTTTACATTAATCAGCTGGCGTGGATAAATACCACCCGTCATGATGAGACTTTCACCTTGTCCTCGCTGTCCCACATGCCCTGCAGCAGGAACATTTCCATGGTAGGGTCCCTGTCTGTGCAAACCCCACCTGCAGAGCAGCAGCTCAGCCTCTGCTAACTCAGAGCATCCCTTTGGGAGCAGCCACAGCAGCTCCTGCCCGAGGCAGGGGGCTCCAGGAGGTGACAGTGACAGAGCTGCCGGTGCCACTCGGGATGTGCTGCCCACTGCTCCTCCTCCAGCAGGGCACGGGCACACCAAACAGCAGCAGAACTGAACACAAAACTGAGCTGGCAGAAACCTGCTCTGTACCCCAGGACAAGAAAGATCTCTCCTGTCACAGGGTATGGGACACTCAATGTTTAATTAGTTGAAATGACTGTGAGGTATTTGCTTTTCACATAGCAGTGAACAGACACAGCCTCTGATACTTATCATACAGTGTAGGCTGCAGAGGGGGTGGAAGAGGGCTGTTTCACCCAAAACTTTTTTTCCATCTGTAAAAATCCCATGAATAAATAATTTCAGAGGTTTCTTTGGTTACCTACTCCCAGAGTTGTTACTGTACCTCCAAATTCCCCAGAAAGACCAGTAAGATTAAAAAAAAAAAGAAAAACCAAAACAAAAATGTCTTCATTTCAACATCATTTAAAACTTTTAATAATCAAGGTTTTTTTTTTGCTTGCTTTTTACTTAAAAAACTATTAATAAAAATCCACATAAAGCTTCTAAAAAGCCAAGAAGCCACTGAAACTTCACCTGAGATCTTGCTCAAAAATTAGGCTGTATAATCCGTGTAAGACTACTACAGTAAATGTTCTGGGGATTTTCATGACAATCATTGTTTTGGAAGCAAACCCATGAAAATAGTATAGTATCAAGAGTTTAATTAAAAAAATACATTTTTACCTGAGTCACTGGATTCTCATTCAGAGGAAAAAAGCTCTTATTATTGAGAAAATGTCAGAATTTCAGAGTATTACTGCAGGTAGCAGTCTGCTGGTAAAATTAAATCCCAAAGCAGGAAGCCCAGACAAGATAAAGTTGTATCAACATTTTCATTTCAGTTTTATACTAAAGAAATCATCTGTCACTGTGGAATTGGAATTCAGTCGTTTTGTACTCACTCTGCCCAAAAAAGATTTAATATATGCACACCACTTTTCACCCTCTATTTCTGCAGCATCTTCGTAAACAAGGGAAAAGTTTTCTTCTGCTCAATCTTTAAGAACAAGCTAATATACAGTTCACTAAAGTTCTAAATGTACATTTTATTGCAGCAGTACTTAGTTACAAGAGGTATCTGAGCAGCCTTCAATTTACTGGAAGGCTGTGGGTCAGCAGTTCAAAGCTTGACACTTCCAGGCAGGATGAGTTGTTTCAAAATGTTACAGTTGGCCACAGTGGGAAAAAAAACCCCAACACCTCCAATAGTCATCAGATTGCTGAGGTCTTACAGAAATACTTCAGTTGGTAGCACAAAAAATAGTTATGTAAGTACTATCAAAATACCATTTTGGCCGACTGCATTCTACAAGAAAAAAGAACTCTTTAAAATGAAGTTATGAAATAATTTATGTCTCTGCTTCTGACAGCACAGCAGCTTTTACATTACCATAAGCTAGAGAAAAGTATTTTTAAAATTACAGGATCACCTCTGTGTGAGGAGGAATATAGACATGGAGAGGCATCAGCAGCAAGTTACTAGTGATAAATTAACCCTTGTAAACAAATAATTGAGACACAGACTTAAAGGAAATCAGAAGAATCTGTGGGGTTTTTGTTTTGTTTTATTGAAATATGAGCAGCAGTATGCAAAAAATATCTTTAAAAACATAACATAGCAAAACCTAGTAATTTTAAAATTAACAAAATAAAAAGATGTTTAGAGTTAAATGAAAAAACCTCATTGCTAGAACTGTGTTTTCTACAATGTAAACAAAAGCATAAAGGTTATGCTTGCAACAAACACAGAAGCAGATTTATGGAGCAGCACAAGAAAGCAACATTATATTGTAATCTGGTGGTTTGGTCTATTGATTTGAATTCAGAATGGGAAACCCTCCTCAACAGAAACTTCACAACTCCAGAAGAAAGTCACGTTTGTCATTTGAAGGAAAACGTTTAGAAAATGGTTGGGGTTTGGTTTTTGTTGTTGTTTGTTTCTTTGCCTTTCCAGAAACCATCACCAGCAACACTTTGAGCAAGTAAAACAATATCCTGAAAAAGTTACTATTTCAGAATAGTGAGGAAGCCTGACACATTTTAATATCCTCTAGAGTTATACTGCAAGAATCCAAGTTAATCTTAGGCCCAAGAATTGACAACTTTCACACTGTAATACTGTGGGGGGGGGGGGGGGGGGAAATCTTCCAGCAAAACGAAAAGTATTCCAACATTTTAAACAATTCTATCCTGAATCATAACACCTGGGCTGCTTCATCATTTTTTTGCCTGCTGGGCTGTGCTGTCAGATTTGTCTCTCACTGGTCAGTCATGCTAGAAGGTTTTATTTTGGTCCTGTACATTCTATAACCCAGTGTCAGCCCTTCATGCCTAATGCAGCTAATAAGTGTGTACACAAGGCACTGCCTGACTGCCAGCAAGGCCCAGGTGTCTAAGGGACAACAGCCAAGCTGCTGTCTTATCTGAGGGGCTACAAAAGCACTCCCAGGAAAGCCTCCAGGATAAACCTGCTCCAGCCCCTCTGCTGGTATTGCCAAAGCTGTCACTCAGTGCTGGGGCTGGTGCAAAGCAGAAAGATGCCCAGAAAGAAGAAAATACACTACAAGAGTTTGTACTGAGGAGTAACATTCAGTCTAAGCTCGGCTACACTGGAAAGGCTCCATCTGCCACTACCACACCACTGGCTGAGTCAATCTCCCCATCCCTCTCTCTAGGCCAGGGGGTGATTTCTGCACAATGTGCTGTACCAGGGGCAGCACTCCCTGCTCCTGTACACTTTACACATTGGTGGCACCAAACAACTTTCTATCCAATCTATCCATGCACCCATATCCGAATTTTTTTATCAGCAGCACAGATGAATAAAACAGGATTAGCAACACCATGAACCAGTAGCACACAAAATCTGCTACCCAGAAAGTTCCCAAAAAGCCCTACAGGAAAGAACAGAGGAGTAGAATGCAGACAAATCTGACTGGGTTTGCTCCTGCAAGCCAGCCCTGCCACAACCAGCAGTCACAAGGATATCCCAGCACTGCAGCTAGTACAGTTCCAGAATAGGTACACAACAGAAAAATGCCAGAGCACTTCAGTACTTAATGACAGCATCAGAGGTGGGTTAACTGGGTATTATTGCAGAAATTATGGTTCAGTTAGCCAATCTAACCACAATACTAGCACTAAACACCAGCTCTGGCTGACAACACCCACTGCAGCATCCATTCTAGAGTCATTCAGTTGGCCACATATAAGCATACAAGTGAACAGAGATGAAGCCAGGTAAAAAACATTTTGGATAAAGTAAAATCTTGTACTACAACTGCAATCTTTCCTTAATTCAATGTGCCATGTGGTTTATTATATAAGCTAGTCAAGAAATATAATATTCTGTAGTGTTAAATATACATATTCAGCATCTTGACAAACGTCAGGCCCCAAAAAGAAAATAGAAGCAGGATCCTATGGCCAACTGACTTGGCATCTTATTCAATCAAAAGAACTGTCTGTGGGTTGCAGCTCCAAAGAATGAAAGGGAAGAAACCAAAGCTAAGTGGCAAATAATGTTACTTCCCTTCTCCTGAAGATGTACGCATCTGTTTTCAAACATACTTGAGAAACTGTTATAAAAAAACAAAACAAAACACAAAAAAACCAAAACAGTAATACAGAAATTCCTGTACAAGAGAACATTAGGGTTCTGCAGAAGTGTTACAGTTTATTCCTTTAAGGCAATTCATAAAAAACATTTTAATGACACGTAAACAATTTTTAATCCTCTAAGATAATTTGTTATTTAGGTACCATACAATGCACGATTTCCACATTTGAGGAGAAACTGTCATTCAACAGAAGACACAAGAACTTGTTTAAAAAATAAGTTTCTCAGGATTGCAGTAATTAACTGCAACGCATATTTTAATAAGTATTTGCCTATTAGTTTTCAGCCTCTCCTCCAAACACTGCTCTTTTCTGAAGAGGTGTTCAGGAAAGAGAAAAAGCAAGGTGAGTTTAGAAAATACAATAAGGTCTTTCTGCATGCAAAATTTTGTACATAGTTCACTTCTAATTCTCTTAAGATGTTTCTCTCAGCCTCTTCTTTATGATATAAAGGACAGAAATATGCATATATGTAACTGATTTTAGTGTTCAGTGCAGTGTTTAAATTCTCTACTTTGCCAAATGCAAACATCATTAAGTTCAACCAAGCCAAGTGCAAGCTCCCAGCTGGGCCCCAGCAATCCCAGACATACCCACAGGTTGGGCAGAGAAGTGACTGAGAGCAGCCCTGCAGAGAACAACTTGGGGGTGATGGTGGTGAGAAGCTCACCATGAACTGGCACTGAGCACTCCCAGCCTAGAAAACCAACAGAATCCTGGGCTGCATCCCAAGGAATGTGGGCAGCAGGGTGAGGAGGGCACTGCCCCCTCTGCTCTGCTCTTGGGAGAGCCCACCCGCAGTGCTGAGCACAGCTCTGAGCCCCCAGCGTAAGGAGGAGATGAACTGCTGGAGCAAGTCCGAGTCACAGTTCTGGTAAGAGGACTGGAGCACCTCCCCTGCAAAGAGGCTGAAAAAGTTGAGGCTGTTCAGCCTGGAGAAGGAAGGCTGAGTGGAGACCTCATGGGAACCTTCCAGGATCTAAAGGGGCTACAGGGAAGCTGGAGAGGGACTCTTTGTCTGGAACTGTAGCAACAGGACAAGGAATAACAGGTCCAAATTGAAAGAGGGCAAATTTAGCTTAGACATACAGAAGAAATTCTTTACTGTGAGGCTGATAAGGCACTGGCACAGGCTGCCCAAAGAGGCTGTGGGTGCCCCAACCCTGGTAGTGTTCAAGGCCAGGTTGGAGAAGGGCTGGAGCAACCTGGTCTGGTGGGAGGTGTCCCTGCCCATGGAAAGGGGGGTTGGCACTGGGAGATCTTTACGATCCCTTCCAACCCTTAACATTCTTTAGATGTGAGAGAGACATTGCATTGTCATATTAACACAGTCCTTCAATCCCATAAAAATGCCAACCACAGCTACAAGTCTTCTGATTAAAGCCCTGCCATCAGGGACAGGATCAAGAGCACTGTTTCAGGCAGGCTACAAAGAAGTGATTACTTTTGGTCATTACCAACAGGTCTGAATTAAATACATGATCTGGAAGTAAAAGCTTCTGCATTCAGTTACTCATTTGCTAAGCCACTCACAGTCTTCAAAGACTCTCAAAACTCATACTTGAAAGTGAATTAAATACAGTGTAATCACTAATACTGCATAATGTCTACTGAGAGACTAAAAAGGCCTAACACAGATCAATTCCAGACAGGTAAAATAAACAGCTAGAACACCAAAAAGAAAACAAAAAATGTATTCCTTCCAAAAAGTAGTAAGCACTGCCATTTACAAATAGTAGTGTTTATGTTAAAATAGAGAAAGGTACCTAAAAAGAAATAGCCTTGGCAACCAAATCCAAACGGCATGAGTGTAAATCAAAGCAAAACAAGAATCACTACTCCAGAACCGTGCAGGATGTTTAACCCTGGATCAATTACTACTTTAAAAGGTGGTTAAAAGAAATATTACAAAACCAAAGTGGGAAAAGGATAAGAACTGCTATTCTGCATTAATATACAATGTGTTTATGACAGCATTTTCCAATAGAAAATACAAGTGTTTTTACACCACTCCAATATTTGTAAAAAGTATATTTCATGTGTACATTAAAAAAAAAATCACATTGTTCAATCTGAGGCAAATTAGCCATAATAAAGTCTAATTTTGCTTATGACAGATGTCAACCTTAAGATGTTAAAACACTAAACTAAAAATACAGCTTGCAAGCTGGAGCTGCACATGTTCAAACAGTTTCATTAAAACACATAAAAAAATCCCAAATTATGATATGTATTTATTTTCTGAAGTCAGTCTTCATTAATTCTTGTCCCTACAGGACAAAAAGGTTTTCCAGTTAAGACACTTGTCTGTTTAAGTTTTAAGGGGAAGAAGGGGAAAAGTGTTCTGAATTTTTCAATAGACTGTTTTTTCCATTAGGGCTCAACTGTCACTTAAGCATCACAAAAACAATTTGAAATGTAAAACTGATTAGCTATACACAATGGAATTGGTCACAAAGGGATCTAAAAAAAAAAGTTAAATCATAAGATCCATTCCCCATATAGCTCACAGTATCCACTGGAAGTTTCTCTAGAATTAGAATAAGTTCACTAAAAATACGGCTGAAGATGGAATTTCAGCACTATGAAACAGATGAGATGGGATTAAGAGGAGAACCCATTTGTGTAAGTACTTTATCCAGCCACTGAAGGGGCCCATGAAGATGAATTTCTATCCAGCACGGGGTGCTCGTGACATCCTGCCGGTGATATTCAGCTCCCCAGCCCTAGAAAATGAACAAAATGGTACTGATCAATTTGAGGACATGCTTGTCTTTTAAAATAACTACTAACAAGAAACAGGAAATAATGATCTCAAGACACTTATCTGAAGGTAATTCACAATCTAGTCACACTGATCTAAAGGAACGAACTCGGGGCTGGGAAGGAGCAGGAGGGAAGCTGCACCTGGAAGCCTGAATCAAGTCTTGCATGCTACAGCTTCCTGTGGAGCTCACTGCTGCCTTGATGACTCCTGTCCACGGCCACATCTCTCTTCTCTTTCAACCTTCTGCTCCCTCTCCTCCACACTCCAGCTGAGCAGTATTTGTCATAACTGACAAAATCAATGCATCTTGGACAAGATGCAAACAAAACACCTGGAAAGCCCAAGTTTGAATTCCACACTAAACCTGAGACTGACAACATCTTGATTAAATAATGCTCAGGAAACGCTCCTGTGAGAATAACAGCACAGCTTGACTTCAGAAACTTAAATTGTGTCTTTTTTCCCATGACCAGAGATTACTAATAACCAATTGGAAGAAGCTGAAAATTTTCTTCAACAATTATGCTCCTTTCTACTCAGATTCTTTTAGTGGACTTGTTATTCTCTTTACTCCTTGAAATTCAGACCATGAACTTAAATCTCTTTTAACAAAATTACAAGAACCATAATGAATAAATTCCTGTCCTGAATACTACAGTAACTGAATACATAGCCAACATTCAATATAGAAACTGTGCTTTTCCTTTCTTGCATTGATTTCCTTCTCCCTCAGTTAATCACTTTAAATATACTTGTAATTGAAAAGAACCACATCAAGCCAGAAAAGCTTTGCTATAGTGCTAATGGAATTACTGCTAAATACCCAAACCGATAATAAACTTGAATACTCTCAGAATAATTTACCTTTACAAAACTCATTCGAATGGTGCACATTTTGGTGAGCTCATATACTGCTTCAAATCCATGATTGACAGACTGAGCTAAAAGCTGAGCAAACTCCTGATTGTTAAAAATTTTCAGACTGCATCCACTGGGAATCTTGCATACAGTTGTTGGATGAAAGCCATGGTGGTAGTTGCAGTTCCTGCTCTGTACAAATATGCTGCTATCACTTAAACACTCGGCATAGACTTCTCCACCAACATAGTAGAGATGAACACCTTGAAAACAAAGATAAGAACATTTCAAATTACTTTGTTGTCTCTGATTTTGAGGTAGTTATTATAAACTCTATTTTATTGGGAAGAAAAAGGTAAAATTTCTGCCTGAGGGGGTTTTCAGAAAAGCTTTTGCTTGCACTGTAACACACTATCAAATTTCAACACATCAGGCTCATGATACACCAACCACTAGATGTCCTTCTCTGACCAATTACAGAATAGAATGAAAAAATTACTGCCACATTTCAACTGTCATTTCAAGCTATTTTTCTAGAGAATTTATGTGGATTTTAAAACCCCAGTTTTATATACCTGGCAGCTTCTGCCTATGCCAAGTAGAACAGAAATAGGTGTATCCTGGGAGAAGGGTCAGTGATGGACATGAATGAGAAAGAATATCCACAGTCTGCTCTGATTTTACATTTTATCAAGCTGAAGTACAGTAAGTCCAACTAGCTGCTCCACCTAATTACCATCAGGGTTTACAAACCTTAACATTAACAAAGACCCTAGATTTATCACATCTGTCTGAATTCAGCTATGCACATGTTTTGAAGTACATATAACATTATTACTGGCTAAAAAATTAATATACAAAAGCTGCTCATGCCTTCAGCACCCAAACTCAGGTGCTCCCTGCTGCTTTACCTGCCTTCCCTCCCCTATCCCAGTTTACAAGGTTGGGATCCAGCTCCATTTAAGTCACCCCTGCAATACCCTGAGAACCCACTACAGACCATCCCGTGATGTACCACAGGAGGCTGCAGCACGTCAACAGATGCCAGTTAATCTTTCAGACAGCAGCCACTGTTGTCAACATTGCTAGACCCACTTGGGACTAAGGTAGGATGGAGGTTACAGAGGAAATGTTGGCTTCAACAGCTACAAGCAGCTGTCAGAGAATCTGGGATGGGCAAGACTGCATCTTCATAACACAACCCTATTTATTTAAAAAGGCAGTGGCCACCACTTGCCAGCTACAGTAAAAAACTGTAGCACATAGGGTTGGGTGGTTCTAAGGAGGCAGAACCTCAAGACCTTTCAAGCAAAAGCCATAAATAAACAGTATTTTATCTCCAAACAACCTTAATTGTTGTCAGAACAGTTACCATAAAGCAAAGTTTAAGTCAATAACTAGTATTAGAGATGCAGATATTTTAAAGCTCATCACTATTCTACAATATGATGATGGCTCCTGGTTACACTTTTGAACTTAGGCAGATGCACAAGATTTCTCTGCCAATACCACTAAAAGGGGTGAGACAAAACAAAAGAGCCTGACAAACCACCCACGCCCCACAAATCACTTGTTCCATTTATATTATTTTATTTATAAAGTTTTTTGGACAACTGCATTGCAGAGCCAAGCATCCAACAGACACAAATAGAACTTCTGGTCTCCAAATTATCTGCAAAAAAATTTTGTCATATTTATAGTAGTTTCTAATTAAAAGAATGTTATGGGACGGGGTGAATTTTCATCAATCAAAAGACCAACTTTACCAAATGCTAGGTGGTAAAAAGGCTTCTAAACATGTGCAAGAGAAACAGGGTTCTCTTTTCAGGACTGAGTTAATCACAAAAACAATATATTCAGTAAAAGTGTCCTACAATTTAAGATAATCTAGGCAACATTCCATCAAAGATGAAAACTGTGCATCTCTATGTACTATCAGCCAAAACAGTACAGGAAAACTAGAAGATCTTGCAAAACCTGCTGTCTCCAGGAATCCCTCCCACACACATCCACGCCCCATGGATTCACTCAGACAAATGAGCCCTTGCAGTTTTGCATTAGCACTTCAAAGTCCTGCTGCCAACTCACCAAGATATTTAAACATACTGTAGACAGAAGGTAATACCTTACAACAACAAAACAAACAAAAAAATCTGACATACTGCAAAGGTGTATGCAGAATTTAAGAAGTAGATATAACGTGGACTATCATGGCATATCCTATAATGTTTCTTGTTGCTGAAACACAGACCACTACATTTAGCCTAACAAGCAAGCCTCAATGGCAATCTATTTTGGTAAGGAAGGGGTAACATTTAGTCTTTTTAATTAGTGACAAAAAAATTGCATGAAATTCCTGACTAATTAGAATCAAACCATGCCTAACTAAGCTGTTTTCTGATACTGGAGAGGTAATAATGTATCGTATCTCAGATTACCTCTAGCATTCTCAGATCTGAGAATTATCACTGCTGCAGTATAGAGAAATAAAACCAAGGACTTGGTTCATAAGACAGCTCAGTTTTACCTTTGCCAATGTGCCGTCGAGTGTTCTCGATCGTTGAGTTGCGGTTGACGTTGGAGAGCAAACCTAAGCAGAACCTGTTCTTGTTATTGGAGGGATCTGTAAACCCATCTACTAAGACACTTGTGGAAGATGCATGGAAAGCCTCCCCAACACGGTTATTTAACTCATAATACACAATGGAGCACCAGTGTTTGGGTTCTTCATAGGCAACGGGCTGAACATCTGAAAAGCAAATGGAAGGAACAATTTAGATAAGAGTTAAAGCACTAAAGGTACAACTGTCAAGCAGAGCTTCCAAAACACCAACAGCTAAGTAAAATCTGAGTAAACAATTATGATGGGCAAGAAGTGTCTCAATTATAACCTTAAAGATTTTGACCTTCGTGCATTTTAACTGGCCTGTTGATTTTACTGTTTTTTATAATTTTAAGCCTGATATTAAACAAAAACAACCTTACACACACAAAAAAGACTATGTTATAGTAGCTAAAACATAACTTTTCTGCTCACTTTTAAAAAATTCTGTTATAACTGGTATTTTGGGACTCAACTGTCAGAGCCTTTGTGCAAATGTTATTCCAGCAACAGACAAAGACAGCAGAAAAGAAATAAAAAAGTACAACTCACGGGAAGCCACATTATGCACCTGAGGCTTTGAAAGGAAAAGACATAATAAAAATAAGCACGGTAAGTTTTATTTCTCATTTATGTCTCTTACAGCCCCAGTTTGCCTAGGACTGCTTCCACCTACCAGCAAGATTTACTGGCCCAAACTGAAACTATTCATTCAGTTTGGTCATGAGATGCAAGATACCAAACTATCTAATTTTATACCAGACTACACAACTTACCTCTGGTAGATATATTTGGCATGATCTGAGGGATCATAGTATTGCTTGTGTCCATAGACTGTGAATTATCCTGTCCCATTTGTTCATCAGGGGGCATATATGCAGGAGGTGGAGTATCAGCTACAAACATGAAAAAAATAAGAATAAATTTCAACAATTTAGAGTATTTATTTATACAGTCTACAGTTGTAAACACACAAAAATATTCCACAACAAGATGTTACAAAATTTGGCCTCATTTTCAAAGAAATCTGAACACAGCCAGCTGTTTTTACAGTAAAGTCCTTCAGTAGCTGAAATTTTACCTACAGAACCAATAACAAGATTGGAAATTTGAAAAAAAATAAGAGATACACTTTTTTCTTTCTCTAATACCTGCACTCCTGCATTTGGGCTTGATGACTCCTCTTCCCCCTTTCTGTCACACAAACACGAGCTTTCTTGCCTACCCTCTTCTCAGTGTTCAAAAACAAACCAGTAGATGAAATAACTGTTTGCTTAGTATAACAAAGGCCTAGAAGAGTTTGGGGGGTTTTGCTGCTCCTGCAGGCTGAGATCATAACAGAAGTGTGGATCTGTTTTCTTCCATCAGCACAGCACTCAGCATGGTAACACCCCACTGTGCCCCATAAATGCATCCACCTCAGTGATCCCAGTACTTGGCCAACACAGGTACCCACAGACTGGGACTCTTCTGGGGAACTGAGCAACCAGAACACAAAGATTAGGCCACTGAGCTAGTGGAAAAATAAAATCTTTACTTTATTAAATTCCTGGCTTTATAAACCACACCGATAATCAGAATGAATAAGACTTCTTTCCTTTGTCCCTGTCAATTGTTTTTTTCTGTGTTTTACAACTCAGTTAAACAGAATCAGTTTAATCAAATCCGTTCCCAACAAAAATGTTACTTTTTTCCAGTTAAACGCCATATTTTAAGTGTTTTCATTCAGCGAAAGACATCCATAAACTTCCTGTTCAGCATCCTGCATTTGCTTTCTTTTAATTTCTACTTCTTCTTCTAAAGTATGGATTAGTTATTCTGTAGTGAAGCTGTGCAAAAAACCTCACCGGTATTACAACCATGACAAAAAACAGTTGGAAAAATAAAACTGCAACAATTAACTCTGACCAGTGACAAAACTAGGAAGAAATTCCCATGAAATGCAAAAAAAAAAGTAATTTATGGCAAACATCACAAATTCCTGAGGTCGTGGGTCACAACAACACGTGACATTTCAGTGATTATTATGGAACTGCCATTCAGGCTGTACTCACCTGGAAGCTGAAAGGGACTGGATGGCCCAGAGCTGGCTGGGGAGCTCGGGTAAGTGCTGCTGGCTGGAGAAGGGGGGTAGGGGCTGTTTGGCGAGATGGAGAATGGAGTGCTGTTGGGCTGCTGGAAGGAGTCCGGAAACGTCGCATTGTGTGGCATGTGGGGCTCGTTGTGGCTGAGGTTCCTGAACTGAACTAGCAGACTGTGCTGGGGGTTGAATTCACTATGTCTAGGCACTAACACTGGAGGTAGAACTGCAAAAAATAAAAAAATCACAGATACATTTAGATTAAAACCTGAGATATAAGGTAAGAGATACAAATAATGTGCTATTCTGCTCATTGTGGTAATGTCAGCTGTGGCTGGGGTGGAAAGAGGAGCAGGGATGGATATGGCATGCCTTTACCCCATCCTCTCCTTCATTTTTAACATCCTTCTTCATGGAAGATTCAAACTTTACTCTTGCTAGAATCACAAAAACACACACATATTTCACACAACCCAAAGTTAAAAAACATAAACCAAACCAGGCTACGTGGCACATACTGAAATACTGATTCAGAAGGGCAAAACTTATGTCTGTGTACATTAGCAAATCAGAGAAAATGGGAACACAGTCTCTATTACTACAGTCAAACTATATAGTTACATATTATCCTTTCGACTGAAGAGAAACAAAATCTGTACTGCCATATATTTTAACTTCAGGACTCCTGGAGTGTTGAATTCCAGTGCTGCAGCACTGCACTTGAGCACTACAGTCAATGCAGTAGAGTTACAACCACTTTGGGGAGCAAGGGAAGAAACTTCTCACCACACTGTCCAGAGCAACATTCTTCATCTCTCCCACTGCAATCCCAATCCTCCTTACCTTTCCCACAGCACATTTTAACAGCAAGCTCCTTAACTGACACACATCTTCCTCTAAATGATCACACCCCTAGTTCTATTCACCTCTGCTGTCTCCTAACTGGAAGTCATGTGGGGAACTCTACCACCCTAGAATTTTATTAATTTTATTTTTCATCTCCTCAGTTCATGTCACACATTGATTAAATAGCAAGCCCCTGAAAGGCAGCCACCAACCTCCTTGCAAGGACTGAGATTTTGAAACAAGTTTCTCAAAGATACATCCTGAAAGAACACATCACTGCTATTTCACGACAAAGGAGAACTTTGCTACTAACTTTAAGGGCAGCAGGCTTAAGAAGTCTGTGGGGAAAAGGTGATTAATCGCAAAGAAAACAGCTTAGACTATTAGTATAGAATGGACCACACACCTCCCGAAAACCCCACCAGTAATGTACACTTTGAACATTCCTCTCCAAAACTGCCTCATACACCACTTTCAATTGGTTGTACAGTACCAGAGGAGGAGGAGGAGGAGGATGGAGTGAATAGTTAAGTGGTTACCAAAGATTCAGATCAGTTTTTAAGACAACAACTTTCAAACATACCTGGGCTCTCCACCCTCTTGTAGTGGTATGGATTGATGCAGACTTCCTTTTGTTTGGATCCAAAAGGAAATTCACAAATATCCAAGGGCTTCAGCTCATGATGGCTCTGCAGATCCGGCCAGCGCCACACACGGCAGTAGATCACATGGGGAAGGCCTTTTCTGTGAGAAACCTGCAGCCGTCCATCTAAAGAGCGGGGGATAGTCACGCACTTGCTGGGCTGCCCTGGACTGCTCAAGGCTTTCTCCAGTTCTTCCATAGCACCCTTTTTCTTTTTCAGCTTTTTTACCAAAGCGTCAACAGCTTTTTCTGCCCATTTTTCCTCTTCATCTCCTTGTTTCCAGCCCAACAGACGCTTTACAGCTGGGCTAGTAAAGGAGAACAAACTGGCCATTGACGTCATTTGACACAAGTCTTCAAAAAATTCGTAGGATTTTGTCTGTTGGGTTTTTTAGTTATTTGGCTTTTTCCAAATAAATGTCAGTGAACATCCAAAGCAGTTATTGCAACTGATGAGCTGTATTATTTCCTGGAGGATGAGAAATGAACATAGAGATGTCAGCGATGAAGACTTAACAACAAAAATGACTATCGATTCCTCCAATTTAGTTCTAGCAAAAAGATAATTTAACAAGGAATTAGCAAACAAGTAAAGGCTGCAGTAAAACAAAAAGGCCGATATGAAAAGACTTCCTGTTTCAACCCTAGAATTGTACCTGATTTTGTTTGAAACCAAAATCCCAGAAGTACTATGACCCCACTCCAAAGAAGTGATCAGTCCCCAAAGCTTGCCCTACTGATCAGTGTGAAAAGGGACCATAAAGGGATGATGGTCAGTAGGGACAGCACAGTTCCATTAACACTCCTTAAACTGATTACTTTCTCTCAGAAGATAGGCTTGAGGAACATGCTTTAAAACTAATAATATATCCTGTCACAGTGCTGCTTTAGAAGACTAAACTTGCTATGAAGAAACAGGGATGAGGCAGGGTGGAACCACCAGTACCAAGACCAATACGGCACAGAAATACTCAGCTTCTCAAATGGATTTTTAGTTCCAAAAAGGAAAAAAATCCTAAAGCATCTGCTTTTTCTTGAGCTCTAACTGGTTACCACATATTTTTGAGAGTATTAAAGAAATTAGGACTTAACTGTAGATGAAGAAAACAAAGCACAATTAAAAGAAAAACCCAATAAAAAGCAGAAACCAAACCTTCTTCAGCCACCCAGAGAGGTGGTCAACCTTTTTTTAGCTGTAGCTAATTTTACGCTGCACTTCCTTATATCTTTTAAGAAGAGTATTTGAAAAGCTAGATATTTTTAGCCTTGGCAAGGGAAAAAAAATTGTTTTCTCTTCTCCAGAAAAAAGAAGGGGGAAAAAGACATGGTGGAGTAAGCATTAGAAATGTGACCTTTCCTACAAAGTGCCTCGGAAAGGAGAAGAGCGGAACAACTGGCTCATGAATGGTGTTTTACCACTCACCAGCCCTAATGCAAATCCTCCCCCAGCAATTTAAGGAGTACCGATGACAAGAGGAAATGATGTGCTGTGGCAACGAACTGATAAGAACTTGTAAAATCCCTTGTGAATACTAAATAAGCAAGTATAGACAATGAGCAGCTGGCAAAAAGCAAGAGCAGAGCTAAGAGAAAGGATGTCAATAACAAAAGATGCTTCCTCTCTTGCTACAGAAACTGCCAAACAACATTGTCTCTCCACTTTTGATAAACCAGGGTGAATTAGAACACCTACCCCAGCCCGAGACACCAAATCTGCACATAAGAGAAAAAGGTGGTGTGAGGGGGAGCAAAATGTTAAATAAATATCTCTGAGCTGGTTCTCTTAGATTGCTGCCTTTAATCAAGAAGATCTTTCTTCCTCCCATCTTTGATAAACTAAAAGTCATCTGATAAGGCTTTTTAAGTGTCTGGGTACATTCACAGGCTCACTTAGGCATTTGGACAGATCCTTCTATATAACAAAACTGTGTACTAAAGCACTAGCAGCCAAAGCTACAGCAAACATCCCTAGGCAAGGCATTTATGTCCCAAGTGTAACCACCATATATTTTCTGTTATCGAGTTAGAGGGTGAGGAAAGCAGAGAACAAACCCAAGGACTATTGGCATTCCTTTACAGGAAAAAAATCCATTTATTTCATGCAGTAGCTTAATCCCATTGGTACTTCTTTGATTATTCAACTTTGTTTCAGTAATACGGAAAAAAAACGGAAACGAAAAACAAACAGAAAAACTGTTTGAAGGTCTTCCTAGAGCTCTCATAAAAAAATAAAAAGAAAAAAAAAAAAAAGGAGAATAGAAGTCTCTCACTACTTCAGTAACTTCCTAGAAGAAGGTATTGAGAAAAAACTAAAGGAAAAAAATCAAATAATTACATATCACCTGTTTTCTTCAGAAATACCACCATGTCTGCACTTTCAGACTAATTTAGTTCCCTCAGACTATTACACATGAGAATCTTTGCACCCTTCAAAGTAACAGGAAATACATAAAGGGAAATAAACTTGGCCAGGAACTCAGGCTGAATTTTTTCTTTTTCTGAGGATAAAAGTTTACTGTTTTAAAAAGTAAAAGCTGTTTATAGTTGCAACTAACTGACTTTCAAGCCTTGTATACATTCAATAGCTGCAAGATCAGCAACTGCTCACACCCCTAGAAAAGGAAATGAACCCACCTAGAATTTCAGACCAGAAGACAATTAAAATGTACTATTTTTGCTTTCAGCTATGCTTTCAAAGAATCTTAAGCATCATCAAGGCAGAAGATGCACTGGAAATTCCTCTAGTTAAGCTGAGCTCAAAGGAGATCTTAACAAACATCCCCTGATCTATCCCATTACAGGAGTCCCATCTGTATTAAGAAACCAAATTTAAAGATCTACAATTCTATGTTCTATGATCATGCAAAATTTTATTTTGTTTTTCATTATTTTGAACATAATGTATCAACTAGGAAAGATATTTTATTTGTTTTATATAATTCCAACATCATTTACCCACAAGTACACCCATGGAATAAACAAGCTCACTATAAGGAAAGGAAGTTGGAACAGTTCTACTAAGATATTTTCAGTAATTAGTATTTGTAGGGCAAGTGGCAAGGGAATTGTGATAAATTACTGTCCTACAAACTATTATTTTAGAAATAATCTGCTCGCAGTTAGTAACATAATTAACTCTAAAAACTTTACATTTGAGGGCCCATCAACAAAAGCAAAGCCAGGTAAAACAAGTATTTCAGAAGCATCAGAACAGATTTGATCAAAACTGCTTCAACTTCTTCAAAAAGTTTCCACATACATGCTCTAACGAGTGAAAAATGAGACTGTTGAAGCCCTTAATACCATTCACTGTAACTCCATTCTGGCCACTTATGAGGCTTTCAAAACTCTTCTGTAGGAGTGTATTTGAACCTGCTCAAGAAAATCAAGGGCAAGAAAGAAAATGCAACAAAATACCAATAGGATTTGAGAAGTAAAAAATGATACTGAATTTATCCCATTGCACACCTGCCCGAAGTTCATTTTGGATGGCAAAACACTGAAGGCTTACAGTCTTTGCCTTTCTTAAGAAAATAAGGCAGAATTAAAAAGGTTCATGAATCATGAGCTGGCTTCATGAGCTATTTAAGGCCACAAAGCCGTAGGTTCAAGTATTTATGTAGAAACCAAACATTTCCATGTAGAAACTGCAATTCATGTAGGGTTTTTAGATTTCTGAACGTGTGGCATAAACCACATTTAGAACATTTACTTCCATTTGCTGTAATTTCAGCATCTAATTTGTGAAAGGTTTCTAAGTAATCCTGACATCTGCCAGGAACAGCTTCCCCAGATCATCTGTACTTACAATCAATTTCTTCTGGAGCTTAAAAGCAAAGTTATGAGCTGTGATTGCAGTACCACAGAGCATCACTGAGCTCTGAATACAGGAACAAATGCCTTGAAGAGTCACATTTTCATTCACTGGTGCACAAATTACTCCTATTGCTGCACCTCTAGACACAGCTGGTAACAACTTCCATGGGGAAAAAAGCTTGCTTAAATTTCCTTTAGAGGCAGAGGATCTATTATGCGTTACCTTCTTTTATTAAATAACTTTTCAGCTGAGCTACAGGAGAACATCAACTGAAAACCACACTATTACATTAAAAAAAAAGCTACAAACACTCTTTAAGGAGCGAGGGTAAGGAATTACATGGAGTAGCATGAGGGGCTTTTTAAAGGGCAAGTATAAAAGGAAGTAATCATTGTATCAAAATTAGACTTTGGGGCATGCATTATTTATACTCTAAAAGTTCTTGTTAATGACTACAGCAAATGGAAGGAAACTAGATGGGTGAACAGGTCCATTGTTGAACCTCCTTAATACTACATCCAGACAGACAGATAGAAACAAAGTTGGCCAACAACAGAACTTGTATTTAATTTATGCAGATGGGAGAACTCTACCACCTTCCATTTGCCATCACAAACACTGAGCAACGTGACTTCCCTTTAGCAGTTCTTGTGAAAGTTTCTTAGCCTACTCCATTTAACTGGCAAGTTCAGTAGGTTCATTTGATGTCATACCAAGGAATCTCCTTCTGGCTAAAAGGACATGAGCGAGAGTCACTGCAGAACAGAAAATGTAACATTACATATGGTGTACCTATTTTCAAGAGATGCATTTTGTATGTAATGTGTTCTCCCACTGATTCCAAACTAATTTCCCACCTGCAAAATCTAGGTTTGAAGTACCATTAACCAAGCAAACCTCCATCCCAAACAGCAGGACAATGAATGATGCTTTCACAAGCACAAGAATAAAATCGGTAAAACCATTTTTAAATGGGTAAAACCAATGACTCTCATCCCTACCTACTGCCAGCACCAAGGCTGTGTTCAAATGTACAAGGACTATTCTCTTCCCACTAATTTACTTGTTTGCAAATTCAGGAAGCCTCCTGTAGCATCCTACCCAATCTCAAACAAGGAACTTCACTGCTGATGATTAGAAGCTGTTTTGAGACTCAACTTCATACAATAAACAAAGCACCACTTATAACCAGCAGCACAACTGGGAGTTCATTAGAGCTGCTGCAGATCTGCAGTTAAAGCTGCTCTGCAGTCAGCTCTTGTGCTTAACTTTATTGCCCTTCAAACTCAGAAATGCTCAAGTATTTTGACTCCATACACACTAACATACATATTCATACAGAAAGCTAAGAAACTTAACTGCAGTATATTATAGTGTGTTATGCTATATACACAGATCAATACTTTCTTTAAAACTACAACCTCACACTTCATTTCACTTGGTGTTATTAAAATCCTTCTTTCCTTATAAATTTCCTGACAGGAACTGTGCAGGATTGTGCTTGGGTTTTATTATCATTTTCCCAAGCTTACATTGTAGCCCAGCACACAGTCCCATGCAATGGCACGTATTAGAGCCTTTTCTTGAAAAGAAACACAGGAGAAATGTTAGCATACACATCGAGCATAGAACAAATCCTAAGATGACACTGTGGTTAAAAAACCTCGTTCAATGAACTTGAAGGGCCTGCATCCTTCAAACCACTGCCACAGCCTCTCCACAGAAAAGATTTCTCTTCAATTACCCTGTGCAACATCTCAGCCACAAGGAATACCACCAGTGAAAAAACTTTTGCCTCTTATCCCCGTAAGTTTAAGTAACAGATGAAAGAGATTTTATAAATTATATCAAAAAGGAACCTGTGGTATTTTCATGAGAAGCAGCATCCAGCTGACCAAAATCTATGGTAAGTGCTTTTACCCTAGTACTAGATTTCTTGTCTCAAACATGCCTTGTAAGGCAATATAATCTAACTGATAATATATGTAAACAAGAAGAGAAAAGAACTGTCTGGTATCTTCAAAACTTTTACTAACCATGACTGCCCTGCAAACAGCAAAATCTACTGACAATTGCTGACAGGGCTTTCTCACACAATACTTTTGCTTTTAATTTCCACACATCTGTACACCATCTAACACAGCATAAAAAATGCTGAAGCATTTAGCCCTGTCAGCTGAGAAGTATTTAACCAGCACTCTCTTATAAAAAACCTAACAATCTCTGAGGCCAAGCACAAGCAGCAAGTAATACAATGGACATCGAAGATATAACTAAGATATCAAAGTGATGCTTCCGTTTCTTCTTAAAGTCTTCTCAAAAACTATTGTAAAAAAATAATATCACTGATAATGATTTATACCAGAAAAGATGTCTGGACAAAGAGATCACTAAGAGAGTTTCACTGGATTTCCAAAGCATCCTCACTTCCATCTGATGTCAATAAAAGCTCAGAAAAATTATAATCGAAGAACAGTTTTGAATTTGTTCTGCATCATGGCAAGACTTGAGTTTAACTCTGATACAGGGGAAGGGAGAGGGTGGGAGAAAACACCAAAACTTGCTATGCCTAAAATGTTCTATTTCTTAAAGCATCCATATTTACAACAAAAAAATCCAATGCTCACATGGCCCTGGTGTCTGCAGCTGCTCTAATTACTGAGCAATTCGCTTTTGTAGAAATTCTCAAAACTATAATTTCCATCTTAGAACGAAAACCTGTCTTCCTTAAGTGTTTTATCAGAACTATAAACTTTTTCACTCTTCTATTTCAGCTAACTGGCACTTTCCAGCAGAAGCATTATGCTGGAAAATGCCACCATCAACAGCAAACAGCCCTGAAAATACCTCCTGTTTTTAAGGTTATTTAAGATCTACTCTAACCAAAGCAGATAACTACAACTTAGAATCCATTTCTTAATTAAAATTCCAGAGAAAAGCACTGCTACATTTCACTAAACATGAAAACAAAGGCCTATGCCTCCATTGGTAGGTTGGACATGGACAAGCAAGTGGGTGATTAGGAATGACCTCAGTGCTACACTTGGAGACAAAAATGGGAAAATAAAGGGCACCTTGTACTTTTCAAAAACCCTAAAGTATGCTAAAAAATGAACAAGCTGGACAAAGCCTTCTAAAAATGTAGATGCTCATGTGCAAGACCTTCATCAAAGACCAAGATTCTAAATAGTATGAGTTGGCAACAAAAAGTATAACCTGGAAAATGGGACAGTCAAAAAGTTTTAAAAGAAGACATAAAATAAAGATGTATATGTGTGTGTGTGTGTGTGTTTGTATACACTTCACTCCAACTGAATTGCATTAAGCCTGTGACAAGTTTACAAAAGCTACAGGATTGGAGGGAACACTGACAATAGTAATTCAGCAAGTTTTTTTTTCCCCTTGCACAGAATGAATGAATGGCAAAGTATTCTAAATTTGTCAGTTTGTGACATTCACTGACCCAGAATTCAGAGACACTACTTCATAGTTGGTGTATCAGTAGCAGGACTCTGACAAAGATCCTCTGTCAAGGATGACAGTGCTGGCAGGCTCAGCCTTGGTGGTAGGTCAGTGGGGATACGGATTTGGCAGGCAGCGTCCTGCACCTTGCCAACCCACGCTGGTCAAGCGCGCTCCAGTGCCAGCCAAACTTTTCTACGTGGTCACAGGAACACGGCTAAAAAGGCTTCCAGAAAACAGTGCAGGAACTTGCACTGTGACTAATGATAATGGCAAAAGTGTTAAATTACTGCTCAACTTGCTTTTAATGAGCTGTTTATTGTTAGCCATGAAGATATCTCAAGTGCACTCAAGTCACACAAGAACAAATCTTCACATTTTGAGCACAAGCTCCGTACCTGTTATTAAAAAAAACAAAATCAGTAAAGATCTTTAAAGAAACATTAACAGATTAAAATAAAATTAATTCTACCAAATCTAAAAGAGATATTTGAAGAAACTCCTACTTTAATTAAAAAAACAAACAAACATGAATATAACCGGCAAGGCCTTAACGGGAAGGAAGGAAGACACAGGGACTTGCACAGAATTGCCACAGGAGTATTTCTGCAGGTATGTAATTCAGCCAAGAGCAATAAAAGAGTTCCTAGCACCTTCCTTAGACATCCATAAAGAAAATAGAGGACAGTTTTCTGCAACTAAGTATGTCCTCCAAAGCATCAAAGATCACAACATAATTTACAAAGAACTTTCAAATAAGCCCAAAAAGTTCCTTAACTGAGCATGAGCACTACATCTTGGGAGATATTTTTTCCCAGCTCAAATAATATTCTGTGATCGTAAAAACTCTGCACAGATCACCCACTCCCGTTGCAAGATTAAAAATCTGACTTCCTAACAAGTAAAAAATACTACAGGGTCAACAATCACAGTTGCTCCTTCAAGTTCCATTAGAGGTTAAATCTACAAACTGCAAAAAAACCCAAAAAAACCACCCAACACAGCTGTACACAGCAGCACACCCTGTTATGATCTTTTGTCATCAATAGAAAGAAATGCAGAGGAAGCCTCTCTTCCTTCTTTCCCATTTGTCAGCTCCATCATGATTGTCCATCTGGGCTTTCACCAGGAAAGTCCTCTTCAGAAAAAGAGAAAATTCCTATCTCAAATGTATGTCCTCCACATTTGAAAGGAAAAGTAAGGTTTGAAAAGGTAGGTATCCCAGTAAGCACACGGTTTGCTGGGGTTTTATTTTGCAGAAATAAGTGGCATTAGTCACTTAGCAGCAATTTCAAGGCCAAGTGAACAAAATTTTAATATCAGAGGTAAGAGTAAACCACTATCAAACGGCAGGGATTAAGACATTAAATCCAACACAGACAGGGCACTCTCAAAAGTTACAACACACTAATTATGAAACATCTTCAATTAAGTTATTTGCTGCTTCTATTAACTTCCACTACCACTAGCTGCCAACTTCATAAAGCATTACAGGTTTTGATGAGCACAGGCACATGCCTGCAAGTGTTTGCACCCTTTTCTTTACACCAGTCAAACTGTGATTCCTCAGAATACCAGGAAGATATTCTGTGCAGAACTTCTGTAACTGACACATGCAACGAACTATTCTGATTTCAGTTTTCCTTATTTTAAAGCCACCCATGGAAGGCTAATTATCTGCAATTAATGAAGGAATGAAAACAGCAGGAGACTTCATCCAAACCCATCATATACTGACAATCTAATTTCCCATGACAGACAAAACTTTGCTGATGCAAATTCTGACAGTTATTCTTCGGAGGTTTTGTTAAAGCAGTGAGCCCAACTGATTCACTGCATGGAATTTCTAAATTCCTACCTATTCTACCAAGAGACTCAACAACTATTACCGAACCTATTCAATAATAATTCAACACTACTGCTGAATCAGTTCTTCCCTATCTCATTTTCCTGCGAAGTATCACTCAATTACCTTACGGTCACATTAGAAACCCCACAACTGGAACAAAGCACAGATCATTTGATTTCCAGTCTTGTGCTTTTAACCGCAAGAGCATATTTCCTCTATTCAATTTACAACCCGCAGAAGACAAAAATTGCCATTCTAAATCACCGAAGCTGTGCATCTGTTGTCAGGCAGCTGTCAGGGCTGGGCGCACCGAGAAAGGCCGAGGTGGACAAGTGTGTGTTTGGAGAGTTGTGTGTGTCTGTGCGAGCCCGCACATCGCCTCCCGCCTCTTTGCCAGCGGCTGCAAACGTGTTTGTTGCTCGGTCAGGCCTGACTCCAGTTAAGAGTCCTCGTCTTATAGCAGAAACCCGAAAAATCGCAAACAACAAAAAACAAGAGACAACGCTCGGGAGGCTCTGCCGAGCCCCGCGACGTCCGCTCGCTCCAGTCCCGGCACCACGCGTGTCCGAGCGGCCCCGCGGGCGGCCCCGCGCTCCGCTCTCCCTCCCGGGGCTGCTCCTTCCCCCCCAGGCCGCTCCCCGTCCCCTCCCGCCCCGCCGGGACCCCCGGGGCACCGCGGGCCCGCCCGAGGCCTCGGCCCCGTCTCCCCCCGCAGCTCCGCCCGGAACCCGACCCCGCGGCCCGTAACCCCCCCCCGCAACCCTCCCGCCGCGCCGACCCACCCGGCGCGGAGCAGGCGGCCTCCCCGGGGCGGTGTCCGTGAGGCGCGGGCTGGGCCGCGGCCGCCGCTGCTGCTGCAGCCGAACTTTGCCGGGGAGCGGCGGGACGGGACGGGACGGGACGGGAGCGGCGGCGGGGCCGGCGGGGCCAGCGCCGGGACCCGGATGTGCGCGGGGGCGGGGCCGCGCGCGCGCCACGGCGGCGGCGGGAGGAAGCGGGAAAGGGCCGGGCCCGGCCCGGGGCCGTGTGGGAAAGGGGCCCTGTGGGGAATCGGCCGCCTCTGGGGGAGCGAGGGGAATAAATGCGAGTAATGAATTAGTAAATCAGCGTGCGGGGTTCGCTGCCCAGAAAGAAGCGCACCGCATAACGGAGCAACGCAAAAGGCCCGGAGGTCCCGCTGCGATGGCGGGCGCTGCTGGGGCCGGGGCCGGCGCTTTCCCGCAGTACCGGACACCGCCCCGGGCACGGGGCTGTTCGCACACAGCCACAGGCTCACCCGGGCTGGGAAACAGCCGGACATCACCGAGCACAGCCTCTGACCAACACCGCCGGGTCAGGGCACGGCACTGAGGGACACGTTCAGGCTTCCCTGAAACACTTCCAGGAACAGTGACTCCGCCACCTCCCTGGGCAGCCCCTCCCAATGTCTGAGCACCGCTTCTGCGAAGAAATTCCTCCTGATGCCCAACCTGAACCTCCCCTGGTGTAGCTCATGACCGTGTCCTCTTGTCCTACCTGGCTACAACCTCCTTCCGAGGAGTTGTAGAGAGTGGGATGGTTCCCTCGAGCCTCATCTCTTGTGGGACTGGCTCTTATCCGCAATGTTTCAGGGCAGTTGAGTCTTTTGGGGGCTGCGTCTTTGAGCAAATTATTAAAATACCAAGTAAAGCTTCAAGAAAATGTGTCAGCCGTGTTAAGGGTGGCTGATTGCACAGATGAAGATTTTCCTGCTGTGTATAATGCCACTACGGGACAGACTCTGTCCTCATTGTGTGACATGGAAGTGAGCACTGTTGCCTCAAAGCTGCTTTTGGACTGCACAGAAGAACATTTCAGAGAGGTATTGGGCCAAAAACGTCCAGTGTGGCACAACAATGTCTGACCTTGGTTAAACATACTGCAGGCACAAGTGTTTCTTGTCATTTTTAACTGAGTGAATTTTTAGATATGAGGGTATATTAAAGAAGAATTGGATTCCAAGCCATGACTTGATGTCAGAAGGTTTTCATTTTTTTAATTGCTCTCAATACATTACTGACTTTTGGAACTCCAAACACCTCAATTTCCACTAAAGCTAAAGAATGTGCTTTCTTCCACTGAAATCAATTATAAAAATCAGTTGTCCATGCAGAAGCCTCTCATGGCAGGGAAGGACTGGCAGCTCTTGTTTGCCACGCAAGAGATGAGGTTCCGTAGAGCAATGCGTGCAAGGCTGATCCATGCTCAACTCTGCTCTTCAGGACCGGGTGGAACCATTCACTACAAACTATTGTTGAGGTCTGAACTCCAATGGCTTTGAAAAATTTAACTTTATATGGGCAACAGAAATGTCCAAAATTAGAAGAAAGTATTTCACACTTCTGCTCACAAAGTGATTTTAAGAGGAAACTTTTCCTATGGGATAATTCTTCATAATCCAAAGGCTGCTTTCCTCAGAGGAGGCTGATCATGGCCAGCTTCAGACACACTACTGAACCAAGCTAAATCCTAGTCTGATAACTACAGAAATTCCTACAGAACAGTTTCTTCCTCTGGTCAAAAAAAAAAAAAAATGTGTAGGAACAGATATATGTGGCAAACCCATCATTTGTACATAAATTTGTGTCTCTGTTGTAGAATGTGTAACTACAGTTAGAAATCTGGCATGCCAATTGTATCTGGCAAATGAATCTTGCTATCAGAGTCCTTTTGGAAAAAAAAATATAAGCATGCAAATGTAATTGAAAGTGATTCTATATACATATAAAAGTACATATATAATTAAGTTACAAAGAAGCCACATGGAACCCTATGTTTTATTTGTGTAACTTAAAGGTAAAACATCTACCAGAAAGAAAAAAAATCAAGAAAAAGCAATGTAAATGTCATAGAAATAGGGGAAAATATCAAATGAGCCAAGCTGAAATTTCGATTTCAAGTATGTCTGAGCTCTAAAGAAATTTTCTTTTGGTTCAAAACTGCATGGCTCTTGATTATTTTGGATGTAAACAGAAGTTCTTAAGAAGTCAATTAATAGCCCAAAAGGATATCTCTACTAAAGTTCACAGCAGCAGTGAAGGAGCAAGACTTTGCTGTAATTTAGTCCCAGAACAGAGCTAACCTTTGGGGACTCCTCTGTATCTCTGCACCAGCAATTGTTCTGCTTTGGCCAGGCAGTCCAAAATATGGGACAAAAAATAAAACAACAACTGTTGGCCTTCTTCCAAAGCTTTTGTGTAACTTAATTAATAAACCAAGTAACAAACAACAAATTGGCAGCAGGCATTTTAGGTGTTGTTCATGTGCCAACCATCATGTCTCTAGAAAACAATATGTTCTCCTCTGTGAGGAGTTACAAAACAGTTGTATGCTGCTGGGTGAATCTACATCACAGAGCTCCAATGCACTTCCTGCTGTGGAGGTTTCAGGGTTCCAGTGATGAGGGAAGCTGAAGGTGTGCGTGCAAGAGTATGGGAAGACAAGGAAAACTAAGATTTCCAAAATTAAGTTTTTCTAAAAATTCTCAATTTAAAAGTACAGGCAATGGAGACATGTGTGCTTGCAGCACACCCTCCTCAGAAAACAGTGCACAATGCAGAGGCTGTTTTGGAGTGTGATATCAAGGAATATGATAATCAGTCTGAAAAGTAGCTTTCCTTTTTTTTTTCCATGCTAGTTTGTCATAGACTAATGTTGAATGGGCAAACTCCAAATGTCTGAAGTCAAATTATCTCTTTGTAGTCAATGAGACCAATAAAATACAAAACAAGTGACATTGGCTAGCTGATGATTCAGGTCTGTGTGCCCTTAAGGCCTCAGGAAAATTAACACCACTTTCACCACTGCCTATTCATACATGGTCTCCATCATTTGGATCTTTAGTGCCACATTCCAGTGGGTCACTCTAATAACATATCAAGTTCAATAAAAGGACAACAAGGAGACTCAAAGCACCCTGAACACATTTTCCAGGAATCATGTGATTTCACAAATTCCTGAATTTCACAACTCATGGAGCCATCGATCCTCTTTTATCACTGTCAAACCCAGATTTTCCAGACACAGACATGCAGCTGTGCTAATCCAAGGAAAAACAACTACCTAAACTCTCCCTTACCTGAATGTTTTAATAATGAAATTATGTTAGATTCTGCAGAGACAACTGCACGTTTATACTTTGGGACCTACCTTGTCAAGTCAGCTGAAGTCCAAGTACCTGTCTGATTCCTTTGTGCACGGGCTAATGGCAATGAGGGCGGAAAAACACCTTCCCATAAAGCTGAGTTATGGGAGGTGTTTATGTCAGAGTGAGAGATAACCTCAAACTCCGATCAAAGTGCAAAACAACCAACAAAGAACTACCTACAGCTGTCAGGCCTTCTGTTGAGAAGTGTGAAGCTTAAGAACTACCTTAAATACCATTATTTTCATTTTACTCTCCAGATTTTGAATGCAATTCCTATATTTCTTAATGAAATTTTTATTTGTTAGAAGGGAATTTGTATGAAAATCAAAAAGATGGTTTGAATTATAAGGAAATAGTCTTGCAAAAAAATTGCTTTATTACAAAACTTTGATCTTCCTGTAATTTCTTAAATGGCTGTATTGTTCAATTTCATTCTCATTCAACTTTCTAAATTTCTGGGGAAAGAAGGTGGAATGTTGTTTAAAAAAGAAAAATAAATATATGTAAACAGTTGCCACGTCTCTACCCACGTTAAGCATTTGCAAATCCACTTTATGTTAAAAAAATCCTGTAGTGTGAAAGATGGCTTGGATATTTAAACCAAATCTACCTTAAAAACAGAATTGGGGGAAATGGATAGGATAGATCAAGAAAGTTCCATTCTCACAGCTGTCAGCTGAGAAGAAATGGGGGAAGGGGGAAATACTGAGAAAGGAATTTATTTTTTTTTTGGCAGTGAAGAGAGGAACATGCCATCCCTGTTTGAAAAGTTTCAGGATGGGAAAGGCTAAGGAGGGGCTAACATACTATACATACCTTTATGTATATTTTTGAGGCAGAAAAACAGTGTTGTGTTTAAGCAGAGTTCAGCAAGTGGAGAGGGAGGTGACATTCACTCTGTCCATTTGGTTCTCTTAAAGAAGCCCACAATTGACAGCAGGCTGAGAACAGGCACAGGAGGTGGTAAGAGGCTGCCTCCCTGGAAGACAATACAAATGCTGTGTACCTTGCATCACATATGTAAGAAAATGGAAATAACCTTTAGTGTCTGGAGGAAAGATAGTGAAATGTTTATCTACAAGGCCCTCAGAGGTAGAGGCTCCTGCAAAGTTACACTCACTGGCTCACAGCCTTTGAATCCCCAGAGCTAATTCTCAAATTAAATACCCTGTTATTGTTACAGCCACACTTCTGGGTACCTTGCATGACAACTCACAGAGAGAAAGGGAGAGAAGAATTTGTCTTGTTTCCCGAAACCACAGATAGAAGACATTAACATGAAATTGTAGACTGGGGAGAGAGGGAAGACAAGCCAAAATTATTCTTCCAAACAAGTTTAAAGCTGCAAACTTTTCTTCCTAGGCTGGAACAAGAAATGGGCTGAGACACGTAGCTATGGGACATCTTTGGGGATGTTAGAAACAAAGACATAATTATGTAAAAGTTTTGTAAGTTCAGCTCCACTCCATAGAATAAAAATGTGAATATACTGGGGATGGTATATCCAGTTCAACAGACCCAAGAGTCACTTAGGATGCAAAACTGAACACATAAAGAAAAAAAGTCTGAAAAACATATTAAAAAACCAAAATCCTAAGAAAGGAAAAGGGAAACTGCAGGAAGAGTAAGATGTGTGTGAAGGCATGAAAAAGAGCACATGCTTGAGAACTGTCACCAAGTCCACATCAGTGGGAACAACCATCCGTTGACACCTGTGGATAGAGTCTGGTCAGGGCAGAGTACTTCTAAATCAGATCTTCTTCTTG